GAAAGTGTGTTTTCCTCGAGACGATTTTCTTTTCTCACCGATAAATGAGATAATCAGACGTACTTTTGCCGGGCATATTTTGATGAGATTCATCCAAACGTCCAGATCGATACTCCAAATTTGGAGAACCGTTCTGGACGTTTGGATGAATCTCATCAAAATATGCCCTGCAAAAGTACGTCTGATTATCTCATTTATCGGTGAGAAAAGAAAATCGTCTCGAGGAAAACACTTTCTCGTTATCGTTATCGTTATCTCCTATTCATCTGGACACTCGTAATTCACAAATCCATGATATGTGTTGGTGCTTTCCGAGATGCTTTCCGAATGAATCATAATTAAGACACACAATGGAGTTGTGTGTTTAATCTCGTCTGATTATCTCATTTATTGAGAAAAGAAAATCGTCTCGAGGAAAACACAATTTGTAGTTATCGTTATCGTTATCGTTATTGTTATCTTCTATTCTTCTGGACACTCGTAATTCACAAATCCATGATATATGTTGGTGCTTTCCGAGGTGTAAAGGCTTGCGTGCGGATTTCTCGAGCTACGCCCGGCCGTTTATTGCGGCGATTAATCGCGGTCGCGAAAACCCGTCTTCCTCTCGGACTTTCGCATGTAAACTGCCTGGAAAACGAGATGCTCGCCGGCTCTTGGCTGGTCGACTGTGAATATTCGCGAGAGTTGACGATGTTTCGGTCACGGTGATATGAGAAGTGATTGCTCCTAATACTGCCCGGCCAAGGAGGGAAAGCCCGCCGCTATTCGTCCGTTTAACGTATTGCACATTTCCGGGAGCCAAACGAGTCCGATCGATAGTTTTATCGGGATTGAGCGACCGGTAAGGAGGGAAGCGCGGGGGAAAAAAAAGTATGCAGCTACTTTCCAGCTTCATGGGCCGCCACACGAAGCGAGGAGCTTCCTTGAAAAAAGGTACGCCGTTGTAAATGAGCGCGCTCGCTAGAGCCACGTGACAACGGTTTTAACTAGTTCAATTATCGGCGGAAGTGAAAGAAAGAGAGAAAGAGAGAATGAAAGAGTGAATTGGCAAAAATTTCACGGGTGATATATGCGGTATTGCAATATGGGCGAACCACTTTGCGACTTTTAAGATTTAACACAACGATCGTTAAACGAACGTCAAATTCTAGCAAAAAATCATTTCTTTTCTCTTAAAGAAATCTACACTCAACTTGAAATTATACCTCAGCAACGGATAAATGTGCTGACGAGGAGCTTACATACAAAAAATACATACTGCATCTAAATAAATATTATTTGTTTCAAGTGTTATTTTTATTTCATAAATTTATATATCCGCAAGTCTATTATAGGTTCAAAGTAAGCATTACATCTATCCAAAATATATTCTGAATCCTCTAGTAAGTTTAGCAATTCAATGAAAAATATTAAATTAAAATAAAAATTCGATTTGCTTATTACGTAGAATCGTACTATTTTCTCATTAAAGTTTTATAATATTTATGTAAAGAAAATAAATTCTTCTTTTCAGTGCATGCTAATGAGCTTTACCAAAAATTTGTGATAAGTATATTTTAAGATTATTATTAAGAAAAAATTCCTTGTGAAGATAATTATTACTTAAAGAAAAAGAAAAGTAAATTGAATAATCGCTTTCCTATCATAAGATTATCATAAGTATCAAATCTATTCAAAATTCTGAATATTATTCTGAATCTTAGTAAGTTTAGAAGTTCAATTAAGAATATTAAATTAAAATAAATTTCGGTTCACTCATCATGTAGAGAGACTGACTCACTTTTCCTTCGATAAAGTTTCATAATATTCTTATGTGAAGACAGTATAAATTTCTTTTTTCAGTACATGATAATGAGCTTTTCTAAAATTTATAGTGAATATATTTGGAAACTATCAAGAAAATATTCTTTATTGAAGATGATCATTATTTTAAAGAAGAAAATGAACTGAGCTTTCTTAGCAGTAAAATGATATTTTTTGTGTGTACTGTTTAATATACAAATCGACAGATCCATGCATGGATTCACACTATCACACCTCGTTAACTTCCCGCTTCTGATAAACAAGAAGAGGTCAAGTTCACCATGTACAGGATACCAAACTCCTCCACCTTGTCACCCTTTGACTGTTTTCACAGGACACTGCGGAGCTCGACTGTTTGCATCATGTCATATCATATAATATCGATTTTAATGTCGGACATTAATCGATTAAAAATTTAGCTATGATTGTTAAGACGAATTTTTAGTTAGCTAAAATAATCGGCAGATTAATAAACAAAATTAATTAAAAGTTATAATCATGAATAGTTTAATCGATTGCGCGCGCGATAAAATTAATTATTAATAAACTTTGATTTTAATGATTATATACTGAATAATAATTAACTTTATCAAACGATAAAATTATTCGTGATTACATATACGACTATTGATCAACTTTGATTATTGATTTACTAATTATTTTAGTCAAATGAAATTCGGATCGATTAACGCCTAATATTGATAATATACAGGAATACACAGAAATACAAAGAAAAATGCTATCCTATTGTTAAGAAAAGTGATTATTTAGTTTACTTTTATTTAAGTAGTGGTTTTCTTCAGCGAAGAAAATATTTTTTGATAATAATCTTAAAATGTACTCATTAAAAATTTTTTCAAAATCTCATTATGTTGAAAAAAAAATTTATTTCCTTTACATAAATATAAAACATTAATGATTACAAAACTTTAATGAAAAAATAAGTGGTACGACTCTTATGTAATAAACAAATCGAATTTTTCTTTTAATTTAATATTCTTTATTGAAGAGCTAAACTTACTAGAATTCAGAATGTATTTTAAATACATTTTATGTATATATCTGCAAATCTATCACAAGTTTCATAATAAACATAAAATTTTAAATAAATTTTATGTTTATTATGAAACTTGTGATAGATTTGCAGATATCTACACACACACACACACTTATGAAATATTTAAAATAAATAACATTTACTTGAATACAATATTTTTCTATGCATGACACACGCGCGCGCACACACACACACACATACACACACACATATATATACACACACAGAGTGGAATTTTTAATAGATTCTAAAAGAAATTTCAAATTGTTTCTTTTCCTGATTTAAATCTTGACGTTGCTTCTTTCATGCGCGATCATCTTACGTCGTGAGTCAAATAATGTATAAATATCATTTATTATTAGCGCAATGCGGTTATGACAGTATCAGTATCGCGTTGGCGGCAACAATTGAACGCAAATTGTTTCCATGTGCGCGCACGCACAGTGATGGAATTTCCAGGCAGAGCGGGCGCATGATCTAATAACTTATTTGATCAATACCTCCCCCCTTCTCTCCTCTGCCTGCGAACGTTTACGCGGCTCCAGCGGTGAAGCGACCAGGATCACGCGATGTGGATGCTCCGTGACCAGTTTTGTACGGTACGACGATCATCGAGAGCATCAAAATTGCTTTTCGTGCGGTAGACCTTGGAGACCGCGCGTTGCTAACAAACACCTGATTTCGTGTTTTAACTCTACGCCACGGTGCGCGATGGACGTAGGACGTTAAGTCATCGACTGACACGTAAGGGAGAGACGCGCACGGGACACGGCGGTCCGAAAATGTGACGAAGAGCGTAGATCTTCACCGGCACGTGAAACACTCTCGTTCGGTTCGTTTCGGTCGTATTTGTCCTCGCCACACGATGTGATCGCCAAATGCCGCACGCGTATGTGCTATATCATCCGGAAGAAGCTCGAAGCGTGATTCGCCAAATTCAATTCGCGGAAGTAATTACTCTTGGCGCAGCTGTGTACGCGACGTCAACGTCACAAAAGGTTGTAACGTTAATTCCACCCTGTACACGGCTCCGTAATGTCAAGGTCACATCCTGAATTATCGTTCGTATCCTCGTGCCAGAGTCGCCATTGAATTAGTCACCGGATATTATAGCTGTATAATAGCTATACGATAACGAAGAGATAGAACATCAAGATACTTCGCCGGTGAGCTTCTTCAGCAACTTAAACTTGATAAACCGCTGTTAAGAACGAGTCCGCGCTCTGCCTGGCGCGAGATCGTCGAGACCTGGTGATAAGACCAATCAACATTAGAAATGTAACTACTGAAATGTAGAGGAATCCGAGGCATAATAGAAACTTTGAGATTCAAATAAAATTCAAACATTAAAAATAAATAACTTAGTTTTTCACCAAAATATTCTTTGAACTATCCATAAGAAAAACATAAGCTTTGCTGTGAAAGAATAGTTTAAAAGCATAAAATTATTGTTTTATTGAAAGCGTGAATTAACCTCATTATGCTTTCTACACGGAGCAAAATGAAATACTTCACAAAACTTGTTTATTTCCCAATCATTGATTTTTAAAAAATGTTCAAAAGTGACTCATTAAAACATGCAATATATAAAAATGTATTATTGCACATTTAATTACCTATAATTATTTATTAACATCACTTTGTTTATAAAACGATAAAACTCTTATTATTAAAATGTATTTATAATACATAAAATGTATTTATAAATGTATTTATAATTTACTCTTATTATTAAATGTAAATGATATACTCTTCTTATTAAAATGTTAATTACAATTATTATGGTAATCTGTGGTATCAATTTCCTGAAACATACCACACATAAGAAATAATAAGATATAGATAAGAAATACTACAACTTAACATTTTAAGAACATGATGAAATAATCTTGTAATACTCCGAATGTATAAGTTTGGATTACATACTATAAAACATTATAGATAGTCGATATTTGCACAGGCATTTGATTAAAATAACGAGAAAAATCATTTAATTACGTTAATATATACAGGGTGTCTCAGACTTCCATGATGAGAACGTAGAACGGATTGAGATGAGCAAAAAAGTCCTGTGCCGTTTTGCGACATTCACAATAATAGTCGAGGTATTAATTAAAAAAGTTTGGTGATCACGCGCAATATGGTAGATGAGCTGCAGTGGCGCCGTCTGTCGTTGTATACTTATACATCAAGTCAAACTGAACAAAAAAGTCCTCTACCATTTTGCAAATGACCACATAGATTTTTAGATATTAATTAACGAAAGTTTGTGCATTATGGCATACAATCATATATGTAACAATTTTCTTTAATATTTAAAAATTTATGTGGTCATTTGTAAAATGGTAGAGGACTTATTTGTTCAGTTTGACTTAATGTATAAGTATACAACGGCAGATGGCGCCACTGCAGCTCATCTACCATATCGCGCGTGATTATTCACCAATCTTTTTTAATTAATATCTCGACTATTATTGTGAATATCGCAAAACGGCACAGGATATTCTTGCTCACCTCAATCCGTTCTACGTTTTCACAAAGGATCATCATGGAGGTCACTCTATATATGATAATAAAAAGAAGAATCTTATCATAGTTTACCTTATGTAAATGTATCAAACAAATTGCAACACAGTTGCGGAGAACACAGCAAATGCATTAAGCAATATGTAGCATCTTTCAACTAATATGACAATTGATAACGCAGTAAAAGATATCTAACAGTGATAATTACAAAACATTTCATTACATTTCATGGCAGCATCTCCGTAAAAATTACCAATCATATCCCATTATGCCCCGTCGTCCCGTTATGCAGGTTCTTCTATAATTACATTTAATGTAAAATTTTTGGGCAAGTCGATTTTTACTGGCGCGTACGATACATCGCAAGACGTTATTATCCTCTCGAAGCAGAAATCAATCATGCAAAAAATTCTGCGGCTTGTCCTTGTAAGTAAAAGATATAACAACGATGATAAAATTTCGTCGACGATAGCTGCGCGAGCAAGACGTTAAGTGAATCTTTATTTTATTTGTTTCTTTCTTTCCTTCTTTAACACATTAGAATCTTTTCATCTTTTCTGCCTACTGTTTCTGCAAGGTACACTTGCACGATAGAATGAGTCGATGCGAAAGCGATTCAAAGGGGACGAGAAGAAACGGCCATTGAGGAGGACAGTTGGCTTAACAAACGGCTGGAGGATTTCCGCGGCATACGCCACGTGAATGCACTGTACAGCGCATGCATTTCTTCGCTGCAATAACTCTTAAGCGTGACACTTGTCCTTGCTCCTTTACTCGCTACGCTGATTGATACGCATCGCAATCCAGAAAGTTGCGGTGAATTGTGGACTATATAGAGATCGCGCATCGTATACGAATCGCATAAAATCAAATGAACTTTCAGCAGAGATTTTCTAAATATCTCGTAAATAAAAAAACGTTGCTGTCATAATCAACAATGAAACATGAAAAATATTGCTTCACACATGAAATACACATAGCATGATTAAAGTAAAAATATCAATGCTCTCTGAACACCTAGTCCTGAACATTATTATTGTGTTGGTTTTTAAGTACGAATATTTAAATTTTTGTATAATATATGTATATTTAATATATGTATATTTAATATATATATATATATATATATATATATATATATATATATATATATATATATATATGTATATTTTATGTTTTGAAAGTTTAAATAATTATTTTTAAAAGCCAAAACAATAACGTTCAAGTACGTGTTCAGACATTAGTTTTTACCTTAACTATTTAAATAATAATCAGTTTTATCTTGAAACAAGTTCGGAATACATATTTTTTGAATAATTTAACAAGTTTTGTGATATATTATAAACAATTTTATTTTGCATAGTATAATTTAAATGGGCAAAAGAAAAATGTAAAAAGACATCGTAGACAAGTTTTTAAAATTTTAATTTATGTGTTAATATTACTCATTATAATATCACACATTTGAGGTGAGGGTTTTAAAATAAATTTAAAATATAATCTTTGGTACAATTTAACTCTTTAACGCCTGCTGATAACTATAGTTACCAGAAACGTATTAAAAAATCCATAACTCAGCAAAAAATCGAGATATCTTCGATTTTTTGCTTTTTACCATCATAAATATAAATTCTTCTATTAAAAGTTGCGATATCGATTTATGTAGATTCAGTTTATTTTTTGAGATAGAATATCAAGAATGATATCATGTTTTAGGCAAACACCTAACGAAAGTGGTTAGAACTGTTACTGACATCTAATAGCGCATTGTAAATAAGTAAACTCATATCTGCTTTACATTTAGAAGCCTTTTTAGTTGCAAAATTTGAACATGAGAGAAAATAAAAATTCAAAATATCAGATTCAATATAGTAGACATGAGTTTCAAAAAATCAATGGATTTCCATAAAATAATCAACTTCACTCACAAGGATTGTCAAGTTTTCCCTCAAGAGTTTCAAGCTGACAATATTAGAGAGCTGTTCTATAGTTCACTCTTCGTTATTTTTCGTATCAGTTTTTATTTTCCCGCGTATTTGTTCCATAGTGCATAGTTTGACGTTCGCGATTGAGTCGTGTCAAATCATCTTTTGAATTATTCTTATCAGCAAAGAGAAACAAGTTCATTTACTTGTCTTTTCAACGATAAGTTATTGTTTTTCATTTTTCGCGCACTTATTCCAGGTTTGTTTCATTTGCATTTTTCAGGACCATGGTCAGGGGTAGTTTTTACTTGAAGAAGTGGTTTTTCGTGAATGGAAAATTATGATATTTATTTTTTATAATTAGTTATTCTGTCTGAGACTTCCGTAAAGTTCCAATTTGATTCATAAGGTTGATCAATTTCAATAAAAAAAGGCGAGCGTTAAAAGGTTAAGAAAGGAGTATGATTATAATTGTGACATTATATTAACGTTTATAATGATAATAAATTTTATTTATAAATTTATTAACTAATTAATAGTTAAAGCACGCAGATATATTACGAGACTGATTTTTTTAAATTATTGTTCATGATCAATCAGAAATATATAGTAAAACAAAAATATAATAATAAGAAGAAGTTCTATTAAACGTGCAATTTTTATTTTAAGTAATTCACTATTATCGAAAATGAAAAATTCTATCTGGCGTTTGTGTGAGATCCCGAGCAACACAAAACATCAGACCAATGTTAAATCTATAACAGTCAACTAATATATGCTGTTTAGGATGCAAAATACACCCCGTTCAACTTTGACGACGTAGATAGATAATCCTAAATAAAATTTGCAAGTGTTAATTACCTTAATAGGGAAAAGATTAAGAAAAGTTACTCCAGAGAGCAGCACTGAAAAAAATTGTTTTGTTCCTATATGAAAACTAGAAAAAAAGGCCTGGGCTCATATTCTTGAAAATTTTGTGTAAGTTCCTCTTTGGTATAATCATATCATAAAATAACTTGTGTAATAAAACCTACATATACGCAAAAATTTCAAGAATACAGGCCTTAGTATACAAAATACATTCCACGCAGCCATTGAAAGATTAAAGTAATTTTTTTCATAAGTTTCGAATTTGTTTTCTATTTGCTTTTCAAACATAATTCTATTATTCCACAATGTAATGACGAAAAGTTAAAATAATTTACGACCTCTGCTGAGGATTGGGAAAAAACTAAACATAACTTCAAGGTACTAATTGTGAGTTCATTTAAAACGCGCAGTGCGTTACCTAACACATGCGGGCAGACTATCTCGGGAAATATTTATTTGGAGACGTTTGTGTACGTTTGCGTAATCGATTTGGCGCTCGTTCTGTTGAAATCATGTATAGTATCCCTTCCATCTTCCGATACACAAAACGCGCAATTGTCCGAGTTATATTTAACGAGACATTCAAGGCGCGTGTGAAGTCAGTCCGTAACATGAGTAAGGATCAATTTTTGCATACGATCTTGTACGAAGCAACTGTAACGAATGGTGAATGATCTCTAAAGTAAATTTACTAATAAATATACCAGCACTATATAAAAGTACCACCTGTACGCGCGCAAGACGCTTTCTTCAATTAAGCGTTCTTCGCGTAATTACTAGTCATTAGTAAGAAATTGAACATTTGGTGCTTAAGAATCGAATTTTCTCCGCACACGCTCAGCGTCAACAGGCCGCTTAACCCTCATTTTATGTTTGTATTGGTGCTATGGTAGAAACGCACGCACGTTTCAATGTTACATTGTGCACACATCTTTGACTTTGCATGTATCTTCTTTTCTTCAGGAAAGCGCGAATCCATCGGAGGCGGGAATCTTGTTGGTAATTGGCCGTCTTCAACAGGGGGTCCGGTCAGGCCCCTTAACAGTACCGTTGGGTACGGCGTTGCGACGGGGGGCGCCAACATGACACCCGATGATCCCGCACCCGACGAAGAATTCGCCCTCGCCGTCGCGCAAAAAGCACAGGTACGACTTATCGGCGACTTTCCCGCTTGGCCGAGCCGAATAATAAATTTCTGATAGCGACGTGCTCCGTGCCGTCGTTCTCTCACGCCGAATTACACGGTCGACAGAAATAGGCCGCGATAAATGTGCCCCGCAATCTTCTCGCGTGCATGCTTTAATCGATGCTTTTTATATTGACTTGTTAGTGTGTGTAAAGAACAGGTCTTATCTAGATCTCCCGTTCGTCCCGTTCTGAAACTTGAACTTCGTCCCGTGTATAATTTTTAGATCAAGAAACATTTTTTAATAGCGTTTTAGTAAAAAGTATGAAATTAAGATTGCACGCTATAACGCAGAATTATAAACGCGGCGATAAAACCGGGTTTAGTTGAACCAAGAGTCATTCTGGCTTCATTTATATAGAAGAAATTCATTAAAAATTTCATTAAAATCGAAATAATATTACAGTTAAAAAGTAGAAAAAAACTGATTTAAGAGCTGCCGAGTAAATTCGTGAGCGTCTTGACTTTTCAGATTAATATTCTTCATCAAGAAAAAATAAACTCAAATACATATGTCTAAAATATGTCTCAGAGACGTCCTAAAGAGACTTAAAATAAGTAGGATATCTTTAAGACATCTCTAAGTTACCTTTTGAACATTTATGCTGTATGGAAAGTGACGTGTTGTTAATTATAATAAAGTTTCCCGCAAATTTCATTCATAAAATGAATGGAATTGAGCATATGGACGGACGGGTTAAAATTTGTCAATATTTAAGCGTCGGCAAAAGATCCGTGGAGGGATTATAGAGACCTTTCCCATATTAGATTAGAAGATTAGGGATTATTAATCAGGACAAGTATTATTGAAGGTAAAAATGTCACCAACTAAAAACTTTAAAAAACAAACTTTATTAATTGAATATTAGATTATCATATGTCAAATATCGGATCCAGTATGAATTCTAAATCAAAAAAAGCAGGCCACATATATGTCTTAAGCACGTACTTTTCGGAATCGATTTCGATCAGAATAATTCCGTTTTTCCTAGAGAAAACGATAAGAATCTGAGGAATAATGGAATTATTCTGCTTGGAATTGATTCGGAAAAGTTCCATAATACATGCTCAGGACATATACTTTATGTGGCTTTTTCTCATGTAAAATTCATACTAGGTCTGACATCTGACCTACGACGATCTGTGATATCAAATAGTAGAATTTGTTTCCCAGAATATCTAGCTGATATTTTTGTCTCCAAAAACCTAATTCTTCTATTGGATATCGGATATCATATGCCATGTGTCGGATGCGGTATGAATCTTGCGTTACCTTGGGCTTATTAGACAACTTAAACCGTTATCAAGGCAAAATGATCACCTTGTAGTATGTTCGTGCTTTGATTATAAAAGAACAAGATATATAGTTTATAAGATCGTTGTGATAGTATAAAAACATGAAGGAAAGTTATCTTTATTGTATATGTATAATTAATTAATCGTCTGAAAAATTGTAACTTTAAAATTCTGAAAAGTGATTCCATCTAATTCGGTCTCCCCTATTGCGTTTTTACGCAATACTCGTTGAATCACGAATTAATGGATATTTTTGGGATTGTTACAAAGTGCTGATGAATTGATAAAATAGAGGCCTTCAAGTAAAAATCTAGACGTTTGATTTTTTATCGAAAATAGCATCTCTCTCTCTCCGTATTTGTTGTATTCATCAAAAGTATCCGGCTCGACTCAATATAACCTTTAAAAAGAGCCTTTCCAAGTATCTATTTATAATGCTATTGTATTAAAATTATTGGTAAAAATTGATCATTTAATTTAAAAAATGTAATCTTTCTTATATTTTATTTTTTATATTATATTATTTTTTTATATTTTTTATATTTGTCTCTCATCTTAAAATATCGATTTCTTCTACAGAAAAATCTCTAAAGTTTCGTAGAATCGTAGAATCTCTTTATATGACTATCCTTAGATTCGTCATTGTCAATTAAAAAAACATTAGACCAATCAGTAAGCAATCGGAGAGGAAATCCAGATCGTCGATTATGTATTAACATAATGTAGTAAAAGTAATAAAAGTGAAATTCATTAGATATCGAACAATAAAACAGTAAATATTTTGGTAAATTCCCTCATTTTTGTAATATTCACCAAGTTTCTGTGATACACAGTCAATTCCCAAAGTCTTACTTGAGGGTCTTACTTCTAAAATCGATTCTTCACAAACGCGAATTGCACGTAACAACTCGAGGACTGTTTGAAACCTGTCGGATCCCATTAAACCTCAGCGAAGGAAACTAGGACACGCGTTTCTCGCGTTAATAATGTCATGATGTCGCACGATTGCGTGTCCCGTGATATTTGCGCTTAAAAACCCGCAGGAGTAGGTACTATTTTTCGCGCGGAATGCACCGCGAGCACAAATACGTGTAATCTCAATGGCCGGTGCGCCCGTGGCGACGGGCATTTTTCAAAGGAGCCCACGCGAGTTGAATCGTCAATTCCGTAAAAGCGGCCGCACGGGCACAATACTCCGCGGACAAGAGAAGAGCTGGAATATCCTGGCGACACGTTCACTACGTATGCGCACGACGTATGCATCGCTGAACGTTCACCGGCGTCGTTGGCCGCGTTCTGGCTATTGTCGCGCGACTCATCAATTTTCTACATTCGCTTCTCTCTGTGCTCTCCAGAGCCGTGCGAGCTGGTCCGCCCAAGTCTTGGGCGGCCATGCGAGATTGTTTAAATATCCCATTCGTCAAATTGAATTCTCGATGACGCACAGACGACACAATGATGTCGTCGTCCGATATCGCAGCGCGAGGAAATCTCGTGGGGGTAGCATATTAATAGGAATGAAACAATGCGCGAGGGAGATCTCTTGTATCTGACGAGAGGAAATTACAATTGATCGGGACGACTTGTGAGGAGTGCAATTAAAGCGACTTGAGATATATCTCCGCTTGTCGAATGAGCGGCGAATCGGGATCTTTACGGTTTCTGAGATTCCTTTTTGTACGTGTTGATTTGTTATTCGAGACCTGAATTTATGGATGCAGAACTGAAATGATTATCTGCGTGGGAAGTCATTGAAGTAACACTTTCCGGCACAGAACTCGTGGGATTTCTCGTGCGATCATTATCACGCACATTTCTAGCTGCTCCACCGAGAGTAATTAGTGCTTCTTTTGAAAAACGTAGTAGATCAATTTCGAACACGTGCTGTACTTGAAAGGAATCCGACCGTCGAAAGGAATTCGAAGAGATTAATTTTTTTTCAGTACATAACACGATACAGATGAATTTGTATATGCTGTGGAAATATCCAACTTTATCGCGCTATAATCTAATTGGTGTAAAAATAATTCTTGGAAGACGCGTCTATTTTTAACTTTTATTTCTTATTTATTCAAATAAAGCAGTCTATCCTGAAAAGAAATCGGCACGAGCTTTATTTCGAATCGAGCTTATTTCTTCACATGTAGGACGTCTCAAAATCCTTCGGAATTAAGGTCGGGGGTTCTGGCGCGCTCTGTATAAGAGCGGTAAATTATGACGCAAGGGTAAAGGATCTCGTCGATAATGATATTTAACCTCGCTGTAATTTTGTAAATGGGAAAATATAGCTTTCGACGAAGCGCACACACACACACACATATACATACGCGGTTTGTTCGGGGACCACCGCGGACGTATTTTACGATGCGGTACGCCTCTTTTAGCATTGGACAACTTTCCAATTAATGAAACGTTACGTTCTTGACGAAACAGGTTGAATTACTATTGCGCAAAGGCGTGTTATGCGCGATGGCGAACGGGAACGCGCTCGTATCTTTCGTCCTCAAGACGAGATCCGAGGGCCGCGTTGTAATCATCGCATTAATATCGCTCTATTTAATTTTAAGAGCAGGGCAGGTGTTACTCTTCGAAGATACGTGATAAATTCTGCGGAAACCGAGAGAAAGAGAAAAAGGAATCACGCTTTGACATCTGTGAAATCTCTCCTTACTGAAATCAATTCAGGTCTCGCGTATATACATCCAAAAAAATATAATCTCATACTTAGCGGAATCCGTTTATGTATGACCTCAAGAGGATTCTTCTAAAAGAAGAAAAATATCAGAAGATTTTTCTTCAGAAGAAAAATATTCAAGCACATTATTCTTTTTCGTTCACTGAGAGAAAAAATATTTAAAAAGTAAAAAATTTATTCGGTGGGTACTGTAATAACATATTTACTTAAAATTTTCTTATTTAAATAGAATAAAAAATCACTTTAATAAAAAGTTAAGATTTTAAGAAAATGTATATTTTCTTATTTGAAAAGTATCCTTTCTCAATCTAAAAAAAATATGTAAATTAGTAAAAGTAAAAATATATTATCAATATATATCTAAAATATTTTTTGTTTCTTAGATTTTTTCTCTCAATGTAATGAAGAAAAGAATATTCTTCCGGTAAAAGTTTTTGTTTATAGAATATAGAATATAGGATTAAAAAATAGAACATCGTAAAACTACAGTTCTATTTTTAAATGTTAAAACATTTTCCTTTTGGTTTTAAAAGAGTCCTCTTGAAGTTATGTATAAGAAAATCCCGCTGTGGATGAGATTACATTTTTTTAGGTGCAAAGAAATTTCCATCAAGTTACCTTAGCTATTATACCGTGTACTTTCTGTATAAAATAAAATGAAATAAACCGAGTACACCTTTTTACATACTAATTCACTTATTCCGGAATAAATTTTTCCATAACAAAAAAGATTTATTTTTAGAACATTATTGTGTATTATTGTATTAGTTTACATCATACGGTTTTTGTTTTTACACACAAACCAAATTGATACGCACTATTTGTTTAATTCGACTACGTTTACTTTGAACGATCGCACCATTTACACCATGCGTATTAAGTTTGTGAAGAGTACAATAAGATTAGGTTCTTATTTTTCACACTTTATACGGTAGTAAATCGATCCTAACTAAAGATTAATGATTACAAAAAAATGGATACGGAAAATGTTATTTCGCGTATGCATCTATTATTAATAAAATTTTTTTTTTTATACATAATTCTAAGAAATTACATGTTTCCTCTTCTGTTCAATTTAATTTCTTTTTGCATGACATGAATCGACATGTGCCTACACCAAGGAATACTGCAGCAAACGAACCTAATCTAATCTTTCAAAATAGTAACGTTGGCTATTATTTGATACGCTACAGTTTACAGCGTCACAAATTGCTTGATATGTATACTAAGCTGGTACGATACATCTTCTTCAAGCGTACCAGCTTAGTACACCATCGTTTACATCACTAGAATCGAGCTACTTTACATGAATATAGTACTTGATATGCGTATCAAGCATTTACGATGTAAACAAGGCCATTATTATTGTAGCGTTTCATACCCAAGACACGTGCATCTACACGGAAGCCATCCATATACTTATGTTCGATAACAGCTCGCGTTTCCCGCCCGAGAAAAGATACACAGAAAAAGTCTTATAATAGTTAACAAATGCATTTAGTTGAATATTGTAGTACGATATTTAGTATACACAGGGTGTCCCAGACTCTCCTTCACAATTTTTGTGGGAACGGATTAAGGAGATGCTGAAGCTGAGAAATTTACCGACAGAACACTGATATTTTTCTACAAAGTTTACGTCGTATTGGTTACACAGAATTACAAATACTTTTACGCAATGAAAGTACGTGCAAAAATTAATAGGAGCATTGCTCGATATGTGACGAAAACAAAGAAAAAATTTTTAATGTAAAATCTCAAGCTGTTAGTTAGCATAATATTTGCTTAATCCAAAAGTTTCACAGCTTGTACATATAAAAAATGTGAATGTTCCAAACAGAACAATTTTGAAGAACATTGCTCTGCGTTCGCATCTGTATTTGGAAGCTTAAGAATATCGAAAAAGTTTGCAAAAAGATTTCTACACATATATGGTTAGATTTTCCGTTGAATATGGTAAAACAAAGCAACACACATTCATGTAAGTTCTGACACATTCATTCATGTAATATACAAGAAATGCAAAAAGGACAGCATGATTATGTTAGTGTCGATCGTCTCTGCATTATCGACATTGTTTGAGTTCATCATCGACTCCAGCTCATCCCCTTTAGCTAAACATAAAAGTTCTATATCGTTTTACGATATTAGCAATAACAGTCGACATATTAGTTAAAGAAAATTGGTGAATGATCGATATAGTAGATGAGCTATAGTAGCGATGTGTGTTGTTGTGTGCTTGTACATTAAGCCAAATTGAACAAGAAAGCCTTTTATCACTTTTCAGATAACCATATAGATTTTTCGTTATTAATAAAAGAAAATAGTCACATAATTGTGCGCGATAATGTACAAATCTTCTTTAATTAATACCTAAAAATCTATGTAGTCATTTGCAAAATGGTAGAGGACTTTTTTGTTCAGTTTGACCTAATAAGTATACAACAACAGACATCACAAAAATTACGAAGGAGAGTCTTGGACACTCTCTATAATTAGTGTGAAATATAATAATAACTACCAATCATCTAATAATAATTACAAAATTAGATTAGTAAAACAAATTCTTCATTTAGTCGATCCAATTAAATGATTTGGTTAATAATACCAAATAGTTTGCTAATAATTATCAAATAGTGCGACTATTGCTAAAGTATTTTGTCACATTTCGTATATTTATCATTAATATGGTAAGTATTATTAAACGATATGTTTAACAAACAACGATATATTTAACAAATTATTTGGTGATACGTATCATATAAATTGATAGTAATCATCAAGTTTTAGCAATAGATACCAAACCTTGCTGAGACAAAAACTGAGAAAAGAATTTACTAAATTTCAAAAAACGTTTGTTTAAATAGTACTGTGAAGATATTTGTTTAAATTAAGTAATTATTTTCTAAAATTAAAGAAACAAATTTATATTTAAACTTCTTTATTTAATTTTAGAAAATAATTACTTAATTTAAACAAATATCTTCACAGTACTATCCAAACAAACGTTTTTTTTAATTTAGTAAATTTTTTTCTCAATGTGGCAATAGACACTACGAATTTTGTTAAGATTATTTGTTAATGTTTATCGAACTATTTGATTATATTTACCTACGTGTTTAGTTGAGACTATCTCACCGAACCATTTGGTAACTATTACCCAGGCTTGATGGTTATTAGTGAATTTTTTTTCGGTGTATAAAATCTCATGGGAAGTAAAACCTCTATGTTTCTTACGCTTCGCGCGTTGCACGATTAAATTCGACCACGAGGTTAATGACGCTTGCGATGACGTCAGAGAAACTCCTGCGCGGCGGTGCACGCGACGTCGCGTGTACGCACGCAGGAATCATGTCCTACATCCTAGCAAGACAAAGATACAACGTCGCCAAGTGTCGCGTGACGTCGGCTTTTACTCCGCCCGACCGCGAACGACGGCGGGGACGAAGAAATTTTCCGAGAATATTCTCAAATTGCGATACATACATATCGGTCGTAACGTCTCGGGGTAATTGCTGTTAATGATACGCTGCGAGAATGCGTCGCTGCGAGCAACAGTAGACGCGCGCGTATGCGACTGCCGTTGCAGACCGTTGTTCATATCGCTAATGTTCTTTTGCGTCGCATTGAATACGAAAAGATTGCCCGTAATATACGAGTATTTGCGTTGGCACACCGAGCGCGAGCCACCCGATTGGCTGATATTTACGGCCTCGCGTACACGATAAACGCGAGGAAAGCGAAAAACGAGAAAATCATATTTCAAAGTCCTACGCGCGAATCACTTCAATGGTGCAATAAAGCGCGAAGGCAGGTAAATAGGGAGAAATAATATTTTTACAAACACGATGTCGCTGATATATATTTTCATATCTTGATAATACCCTCCTTTTCTGTGTAGCAAGGCACCGCACTCTTTTTGGTAAATTTAAATCAGTTAATCGTTTCATTATGCACGCGAATTTCTCTAATAATGCAGTTGATCTTTATACTGAGAAGAGGAAGCAGTTGGATCAGCAAAATTCAGCGGTCACTCGTCCCCAAAAAAATATTGTGTCTATTGGAAAGATTACGCATTAGTGCAATAAGTTGTTGTTGCAATAAGAAAAGAAACGTTTAGTATTTGTAACTATATTCACATAAAAAAATAATTACTACAAATTATGGTCTCAAAAAAGAACTATTTTTCTACTACCATTTTCGTGTTAGAATAACCAAAAAACTTGGTTGGGGTCGAAAACAACTATAATTTTTGTTAAATCCACAATTTTTTTCTGTGTTTATATAATTACTGATCAAAACATTGAATCAATCAATATAACGCATGGCAGCATTTAATGTCAATCGATTAATCGTTTCGATTTTATTCATTCAAACAAAATCTCATTACTTTTTGTTTTCAGTGTAGCCTATGTTTTTGTTTGCATTTAGAGAGCTGCTGTCATAAAAAATATTACTTAAACCTTTAGTTATAGTTTTCAGACCAATATTTTTTTTATCTGTTGATACTTTTCATTTATGCTTATTATACTTTATTTACTTTCTTCGTATTTATGTACTGTATATTTATTTCTGCTTAAATATGCAATGTATTATATTTTTTGTTGATTATTATAGTTTGCATGTTCTAAGGTGAGATCTTTTCCTACATAAACTAAATGAATAAATAAATCTTACGTTCTTCAATATTTAAATAGACAGACATAAAGAGAGAAATTTGCCTTTCTTTTATTTTTCGGTGGATCTATGAGATCTAAAGAAACGAAAAAATTTCTGATTCTCCAGGGTCGGAGAAGTAATTATCCATCCGTCGAATCGTTGAATTCGAATATCTATCAAGAATTATCGAGAATTAATTGCCTCACACAGTAATCGGCATACGATGAACGTTAACGCGACGATTTCGTGCGCATCGTGCGATTCTCGATCGTGCTTATTTGCGGGATTAAGCGATATGCATGCGACAGCAGGATGGAAAAGTAAAAGAACCCCCTTTCACATTCATTCGATACGTGCTGCGTATGAGTGCACGCGCGCATGAATGCACCGGATGAAATATCCTTACAGAGAGACGCAGAGGCAATCCGCACAGTTCTCTATCTCGGAGTGGCGCTCACGATCACCTGGATAATAGGAGCTGCAGGACTGTCGCTGGCGTGGCTGGTTCTGGTCCTGGCACTGGCAGCGACGGTCGTTAAAGCGAGAGTGTCTCGACTCCTTCAGACGGAATTGCAGCACGAATTGGCCAGGTTACGTAGGAGACGGGCGCTGTACAAAGACGAGACCGCCGAGTGGCTCAGTCTACTCCTCAATAAATGGCAAGTACCGTTTTCAGCGACTATCGATGACCCCGCGTCGCGGAAGCTAATCGCGAGAATGGACCACCTGGTACGTGCTTTTAATGCACGTGGTGCACGTCGAGCTCTCTACTTACATTAACGCACGAATTGGAGGTTCCTCTTCAGAAACGCGTAACGTTATATGATTAACGATGAATTGACCATTGCTCTACTTAAAAAAGATAATAAGGAAACATCGCAGTTGCTACTATTAACAAAGAGTAAAAATCTTGTGAAAAAATCACACGCGAATTTTTATCGCAGGAATTATGCGTGCATATAGAAAAATATTACTAAGAAAAGTTACTCAGTTTACGATTACTCAGTTTACTTTCTTTCTTTTAAATAATGGTTATATTTGAGAATTCATTTGTGAAATATGTACCAAGTTTATTTCTGTGAAAAAAATTTTATCTTAAATAAAGTTTTTTTTTCTCTATATGAAATAATGTTTATTTTTGTGATATAAAATTTATATCCCATATACACTCTAAATTTCTTGGAGTGAGACTTCACTCCACAATAGTGAAAATTACGCCAGTCAAAGTTAGAGTGAGAACTTCACTCCAAACGAGTGAGAACTCACTCCAAACGAGTGAGAATTCACTCCAAACGAGTGAAAATATTGCTCGCTTGGAGTGAGTTCTCACTCGTTTGGAGTGAAATTCTCGTTCTAACTTCGACTGGCGTAATTTTCATTACCTTAGAGTGAAGTTTCACTCCAAGAAATTTAGAGTATACATATAAATTTTCAAGTACTCTTTGCTCAGTGAATTCATCACAAATTTGGTACATTATCGTGTACTCAAAAGAAAAATTTATTCTCTTTACAAGAATATTGTAAAACTATATCGGAAGAAATGTTGGTTCGACTGTATAGAAAGCAAACCAAATTTTTTCTTTTAATTTAATAATCTTGATTAAAATACTAAACTTATTAGGATTCAGAATTGAATAAATTTTGATGCTTATGATGAAAACTCGTGGTAGATTCGCGGATATATAAACTTATAAAATATTTGGAACAAGTAATATTTACTTGAATGCAATATATATTTTTCTGTGTATATACACAAATTGAGGTTGACATAATTACAGATGCACGTCAGGGTTAGTTACGAAAGGAGGAAAAAGATACTCCCACACTAAAAAGAAATGCTTAAAAATTTATTTGATAGAAAGATTACTTCTGAGAAACGAAGTTTTTTCTGTGAAATAAACTTTATATTTTGCGAAATAAACTTTATATACCATAAATTTCTCTAAAATAAGCTGTATATCCTACACACGAACTTTCAAGTAATTTTTTCTCAGCGTAGGGAAAAATATCGCGAAAGTAATAATGGCGCATCTGTTATCGCTGCGATGCGATTCTTCCCGTGAACTCGCGATCCACTCTTCCGTGTAGCTCCGATCCGCGGTAATAACACTATTGTAACACGCCGGTGGGTATATCGTGATTGTGTCGTCGCATTGGAAAGGCCAACGAACTCCCGGTTCGAGAACGAGTACTACATACGCATTTGTAAACATACCACATTCCTGCCGCACATGTGTATAGATGTGGCCTTTCACGTTTCTGCCGGTGCCGCGGATAAAATCTTTGTCCGTCGTGGCCGACACACGTCGGACGGAATAAACGCTAAAATTGATAAGGGAACTGACTGAATATCATTTCCATTAGTAGATACGAAAAAGAGAATCGATACTTGGAATTATAAAATACGCTAAAGCAAATTACTCTCTACCTGAATATTTGACATTCAATCATATCGCTGAGTGGTATCGATACGTTGCGAGTAAAAGGGGACAACGGAAAGTCCCTAAAGGCCAAATCACACTAACGATTGGCGATAGATGATTGACGATTGAAGACTGGAATTTGACCAATTGGAACAAAGCAAGCCAAGGCTGAAGCTTGTTGATTCGTTAAAATCTAATCTTTAATTGTCAATCGTCAATCGCTAATCGCTAGTGTGATTTGGCTTTAAGATCCGACATCTCGCTTTTGAAACCCAGAAATTTCAATTCGTGTAATGAACATGTACATTAAATTCTTTTTAATTCTCTTTCATACCCTCGCAAAAGGTAATAAATTTCATATAAGATTCGATCGAATTCATACAAATCCGCGAGTCGGCTGTCACAATTTCACGAGAGCATTATGTATCAGAGAAAAGTATAGTTTGAGATGGTGTACGCGTTCGGGCGATGTTCCTTTGCTCCTTTTGAGGTTTCCTCGTTTGTCAGTACCTGAAAACGGCCGGTACGGCAGGCGGGAATAGGCGTGGAAAGAGTGCTACTTATTTGGATAGTTGATAGACCTGTTCGAGCATTCCTGAACAACCAGCTGCGGGTTCTCGCCGCGAGGAGACCCAATGGAGAACATCTACATGCGCGGGGAAAAAGCAATGAATTCAGCGACACGCTATATACACCGTGCGTATAAAGGAAACAGACGACGGCGGCGGCGGCGTCGAGCACACTGGCGTTTATTTGATCATATGCAAAGACAGGAAACGAACGACGACTTCGGAGGAATTTCTATAGAATCGAGAGTCTCATAGAATCCCGTAGAATCCAGAAAGCAGCAGGATAATAACCCATAGATAGACTCGGGTCCGCGTGTCCGCGATGACGCTTAAACAAAAGCAATACTTCACTGCTGACAATCAAAATTCAATTGTATCTTAGAGCCACGGTTTTCACCAGAGAGAAGAAGAAGAAGAAGAAGAAGAAGAAGAAGAAGAAGAAAAGAGAGAGAGAGAGAGAGAGAGAGAGAGAGAGAGAGAGAGAGAGAGGTGATAATATAGAATTACAAGTGCAATTTAACTTTATTATAGGCCCACATTTGCCGAGACAAATAGCAGTCTACACACAGAAAACTACCATCCTACTCTACTAACAAAAGCGATTACTCAGGTTATCTTCCTTCATTTAAGTAATTAACTTCAACACTTGACTTCAACAAAATTAGCTTCGATAAGATTAACTTCAAGATAGAGTATTTTCTTGATACTCTGAGAAAAAAATACTTGAAAATTTATTTATGGTATATAAGGTTTATTCACAAAAATAAATTTCATAACCCACAAATAAATTTTTAAGTATTTTTTTCTCAATGTGATAGTCTTAAAAAATATTCATCATAAACCTTGAAAGAATTCATATATTATCATGTACTCGATAGAAAAATTTATTCTCTTTACAAAAATATTATAATACTTTATCAAGAAAAGTTACTTTGACAATATATAAATTAGCAAACAGAAAAATTTGTCTTTTCAAATTTAATATTCTTGATTAAAGTGTAAAAATTACTAGAATTTGGAATATATCGTAAATAAACTTGATGTTTATGATGAAATTATGGTATTTACCGATTTACAGATATATAAACTTATAAAATATTTGAAACAAATAGCATTTACTTGAATATAGTATGTATTTTTCTGTGTGTATCGATAATATATGGAAAAGAAAATTTGTTACAAATTCGCTATGGAACAGGAAATTCGTTATGACAGCAAGAATATGTATATGATAGCTAAATCTCATTGTAATTTATGAATACCTAAAAGTATAACTAAAAATATAACATATGAATACCTAAATAACTGCCAGTAGGCATATATTTGACTATGAAATCGTTGAAGTAGCAACAGTAGCAAAAGTTTCATTTGTAGCAACAAATTTTTAATTATGGCAGCAAATACATTTTCAGCAAATTATGATTAGCTGCAGCAATGAAATCTTTTTTTCCGTGATAGTTACATCGATAAAATATAAAATATTAAGTATTTAATTCAATGACTTTCTTGGCTATTAATACAACTATTGGTTTAACGTAATATATACAAAAGAAATATGTAGCGATGAAATATATATAAAAGATATATACAAAAGAAATATGTAGCGGTGATTTACAGCGAAGTTGCCGTAAAAGCGTCAATTAAGGACGACGGGATATTATTAATTCATTCTAAAAAATGATAGGAAAATTTGTGGGCGTATTAACTCACCCGTCCGGTCTTGTTTTTCGATCTATTTATGAAGTAGTATGTAGGCGTATCGTGCATCATGCGAATCGACTCGTTATTGATGGCGAAAATGAGATATTAGCGCGATAAGCTCAAAATGACACACTTGTCGTGACACCGAGACGACATTGCGCGTTTTTTACGCGCTGAAGAACGTTTTATCGTATTAAATCTGGCCATTCGCTTAATTAAACTGAATGTTTAATGAGCCGTGTCTGAACGCACTAGGCGAGACTTCTCGAGAGATTTGCTCACGAAGACTCGAAAACTCGGTCAAAAAAAAGGATCCAAGTAATCAGTGCGTATGAAAAACATATTTTCTGCGTTGCTGATCGCGAAAGTAATCGCATGAATCGGGACGAGAAATTGTGTTTCATAAAAGTGTTTCATGTTTAGAAAAGTCAGTCATATTGTAATATCCAGATTTTTTTACTTAATTTGATTATATTATGAATTTATTTTATCATGATTTCGTTATTATGCAAAATAACAATCAGACGCGTTATAAAAGTTATCTAACAAATTTATATTTTAATGATACAGACACGTGTATTTGGACTAAATGGACTAAATGGAATTATATGATCGTTTAAGAAGGCTATAAGGCTAAATATTATATTCTCAGTAGCGCAATAAGGGTACCACTCATAAAGTTAATATCTGTCGAAGAAAATTATGTTTTTATACATTTATTTTATTCTAATAGCAATAAGTATTAATTTGAGACAAATTAGAGATGGACACACGCACATACAATATTACAATAATATTACAAATACGGGAAATATTATGTTTTTTATGCTTAATTTATGTATTAGTTGATCAAAAAGAGATATATGGATAATAGAAAGAGGTATATAAGTGTTAAATATATGTATCTTGATTATTACTATAAATTATGTACTTTCCACTTCTATATATTCCAAACAAGACGGTCAATAATTCTCAATTTGTGTATAATGTCGGTATATTAGTCTTTAATATCATAATAATTTTTCAATAATAACGCTAATTTTAGCTTATAATAAATTAAAAACAGTACAATTAAATTAAACTTGACAAAAACATTATATCAAACTAAACTTGACAAAAAGTGTTAACTTTTGGCGTACTAAATTAGTTTTATTACTTTAGTTTCCAATATTTTAATTAACAAATAATCAATTCAACTAAAAAATTATCTTTTTTTAATTGCACAGTTTTTCTAACTAAATAGATAACATTTCGAATTATATATAATGCAGGTTTCAATAAATTCTTAACAAATCCATTTTATCTTACAACTTTCTTAATAAGATACAATTTTATACCATCTTGAATTAATTATATGTCATACATATTTTATCATATATTTTTATCGCATACTTATAAGCATACAAACATTTTCATGTAATGATAGTGAGTGATTTTCGTCCATAATATCGAGTATAATTCTCGCAGGTGGAGATTCAGCGCCGCTAGTATATTTTCCTTGGCAAAGGAACGACTGGAGCCTCTCCTTAATGAAGCCAAACCCGGTATACTAGGTAAGCGCATATCTAAGAAACACTTAGGCCACTTGCGGAAGAAAGGTAGACCAGGTTGGCTCGCTAAAGAAATTAATCACCGGCGCTCAAAGGACCTCAAATTACTTCGTCGTTTACCTACGTCGTTGTCGTCGTATACTATCGTGAGATCCTCGTTTCAGGTCCATTAGAATTGCGCGAACTCACCCTCGGCGAGCAGACACCGTGCATTACTCGCGTGAGAACTCTCGATTACTGCAATGACGATGATCTCCCTAATGGACATCATTCTGGGCAGACCAAACTATCCATTGAAGCCGACCTGCGGCTGGACTGCGAGCAATTCCGTATGCTCATTACCACGCGGTTATTTGGTAAAGGGTGAGAAACACGAAGCGCTTGTCGTATTAATTAAAAAATCATCCCAAGGCTTCTCGTTCTTCAACAAGAAAAAGAAATACGTACACGTGTCCCGTTGTATGCTCTTTTTATTGGATTTTTATTTTTTCTTTGCATTGTTTTTAAGAGAAATTTTATTCAAGATTAAGGGAATGACGAATTCAAAAAATATCGTAAGTAGAGATGATCACTCGCTCTTTTCGATCGCGCTTTTCGTATTTCTCGTACATATAAATCATATATAAATGTGTATCACTTTATTTTACCATATTTAACGAAAAACCTACCTACGTATATAAAGAAATCTTTCTGTAAACTTAATATTTTTAAGCTTCTAACTCCAATTGTGTAAACGTACAGCAATGTTTGTTGAAATTTCCCTGAGTGGAGCAAACACACTTTTAGGATGTACAAGTCACGGAACTTTTGTATTTGGTAAATATTTGCGCTAACTGACAGCTCGAGATGTCAATTTTTTAATTTTTTATCATTTTTTACATTACACATTTAGAGCAATGTTTAAATTCATTTTTGCACGCATCTTTATTGTGTAAAAGCATTTGTAATTCTGCTCAGTAAAACTGCATAAAAAGCGACACAGCTCCGATTTTTTTCTTTTTGAAATATGTTATAGAGAATGAAATTCTGAGTAACTTTTTCCTATACAACTATATAGCGCTCGCATATAGTTTCAGAGATACTCGACTTTAAAGTTTTTAAAGTGTATATGTTATAAATAGACTTTATTGTATTTTTATCTAGAAATACACTATACGCATATTAAATAAAGTACACGTATATGCGCGGTGGAAGGGCAGAGTCCTTCCCCCCGCACCTCCTCCCCAAAAAACTAACCTAACCTAACTATTGAAACATGATATTAAATTGTACATATATATACGCAATCCAATCTTTACATTTTTATGCATAATTTGTCAATAAAAAACAATATAAGAATATAAATGCAGGTAATGTTTGAGATCTTTCAATTTACACTATATGCAAAAAATATCGTAAACAGTACCTGTATTTGAATTTTTATACTACTTTCTATTGACAAATTATGTATAAAAATATACATTGGGTTTATGTATTATGTATAAAAATATAGATTAGGTTACGTATATATATGTATAGTTATTATCATATCTCAATAGATAGGTTAGGTTAGGATTAGTTTTTTGGGAGGGGGTTGCAGAGGGAGGGTCGGAGCCCCTCCCCCGCGTATATACGTGTACTGTGCGTATTTATATGTGCACATTAATTTATGCAGTGTCGCAAAACTATATGGCATTAATAAACTGTTTTTGTTAATAACTTTTTAACAAAAAACGAGCGACGGCTAAAACCTTCTAAAGGTTACCCAGAGTCATCACCTTTACAACATATGTCAAGGTCAAGGTCATCCGAAGGAGGTACACTAATGTAAAGGTTTACCGATCCATTTATAACATGTAAACTTTAAAATCGAATATCTCCGAAACTATATAAGACCGCCGTATAGTTGTAGGAAAAAGTTACTCAGAATTTCATTTTCTATAGCATATTTCAAAAAGAAAAAATCGGAGCTGTATTACCTTCTATGCAGTTTTACCATCTGCTCAAACAATATAATGTAAACGTTGCAGAAAAAAAAACAGTATCTTGTCGGTAAAATTCTCAAGTATGTGGCAAACCCTTAATCCAGATTAAACGTATATTTATGCATACGTTCTACATTTTCGCTTGTGTTTTCTTTTATCATTGGAACAGTCGAATTAAAATGTGTCTGAATTTTGGTTCCCCCTGTATTTTTGCAACTCTTTATTTACATCTGAAAGAAAAGTAATTCACGTTAAAGAAATTAGAAATCAATAAACTATTAATTTAATGAGTAATTAATGTTAATAAATAATCAATATCGTGATATTATGTGATTTTCAAAGCCAAACATGTTTCTCGAGTTTTTGGAGAAAAAATAAACATGTGAATATATAATGTATTTTGTAAAAATACCTCGATAGCGTCGGGATGGACATCGACCTGGCGGTGGAGAAGTTGTCGCTGTCGGGCACGATTCTCGTCAATCTGAACCTGAACACATCGGCGCCGTTCCCGCACGCGACCGGGCTCAGTGTGAGTTTCCTGGAGAAGCCCGACGTCTGGTTCAGCGTGAGGATTTTACGAGCGGTGCAGATGATGGAAGTACCTCTGATCAAGACCTGGATCCACGCGGTGGTCACAGACGCGTTGGCTAGTTGGCTGGTCGACCCAGGCCACCTGGAAATGGATCTGAGGGCGCAAGAGCGACCCGGTCCCGGACTGGATTCCGTGACTAATTCCATGCCACAAGGGGTGCTCACCGTTGTTCTGTGTCAAAGCGGCTGCCCCGGTAAAGACCACTTGAAGTAAAATCCTGTTTAAAATAATGGTTACAAAACAATAACGTATCGCGGAAAGAAAAAATTTCACTGCCGCAGCTAACCATAATTCGCTAAAAATATATTTGTTACTGTAGCTAAAAATTTGCTGCTGTAAAGTTTTTGCTGTTACATCGGTCTCATACCTAAATATATGCCTATTGACAGTTATATTTTTAGGTATCCATATATTACAGCGAGTTTATTGCTGCAGTTGATATTTTTCTTATGGTTAATATTTTTCCTATTATATACATTAAGAAAGAAAAAATTTACTTGTATAAATTAAAAATTTATTTACAGGATATAAAATTTATTTCTATGAAATAGAATATATAAAGTAAAGTTTATTTTTCTATAAATAAAATGGGAATATAATTGTAGGATTACATCTCACAAATAAACTTTCAAGTATCTTTTTCTCAGTGTGAGATTTAAGATTTCAATCTGAATCAATGCAAATGCATGAACAATGATTGATTTAAATCTAAATCAATGCGAGTGCATAAATAATTAATTAATTTGCACTGAAATTCAGACTAAGCGTAAACTCATCGTTTTGCATCCATAATTTTAAATAGAGAAGTCTCCGTTAACTTTGCCTGTTTAAGTCGATTACCTGGTCGATCAACTGATCGAACTATCTATTGATTGAACTATCTTTAATTAATTGACGTTAACTAAACTTCGCTTCGCTTCGTTTACATTAATGTCCAACCATCTAGAATGAAATGAACTAACCAACGTGAAATTTTCTTTTCACACGATCGAAACGATAATTAAATCATACTTTTCGGTCTTTAACGATAGTTGTTACCGTCGTGAACGCATATATGAAGTCGTATTATAAGATCGTCGCGTAAGCTATTGTTATGAGTGATTATATGTATTCGTTAGAAAGTAAATCGCAATGAACCTTTCTCCGCTGCTAGCGAACATCGCCGATGAGGTGAGATGGCTCGCGGTAACAGTGGGTGATCAGAGACGAATCACCTCGAATTTAAGTAACACATGGGCCGAAGACGTGTCCTTCTTGGTCGGGCCATTGGACAACGAGAGAATCACGATCAAGCTGAAAGCGAAACGACTCGTTAGTACCATCACTCTAGCGCAGTTTGAGTTGGCGTTGGGAGTTTACGACTGGGAGAACTCGCAGGTGTAAGTAGCGCTGCTCACGTTTAACTCGTCATTAAAAAGGTGAAATATGCTGGATTTTTTCTTCTTTTTTTGATTGTATTTTTATAATTTCTCCTTTTTATTTCTATAATATCTCTCTTTTTTATTTTTATAATATCTCTCATGATTCAATGGAATATTGAGATTTAATAACAGCTAACAGAAAAAAATTCTGAAGATATTACAAAAAGAACGAAATGGAATGCGTGAGGTTTCTCAGACCTTCCCGACGACGAGTTAATTGAAGACTGTATTATAATGGCCTTTGGTATAATACGCACAGTATAGCACATTGGTTCCTTCAATGTTACGTCGTCAGTGTAAATATTAAGTTTTTCACGTTAATCGCATTTTGCGCAGTGTGTAGAATATTATACTGGAGTGCATTCCAATATAATATAACTCGAAATTTAATTACCATTCAAAGATCAATTATCAGAGATTAAAAACAAGCGAATTGAATAAAATAATTAAGGCTTCTGGATATTTATCGCGGCTATCTTGACTTATGACATCAGAAGAATAAGAAAATACACGCTCAAAACTCCTGCTTTCTTTTCATTCTCTAACAACCAATAAAATAAATAACCGTAAAACGAACATGGCAGAATCATGAGAAAAGGTAGTTTTAAGAGGTAGCCTTAGGAAGTGTTTCTCACTTCTGACGTCATCAATTAAGAGGTTTACGATGAGTATCCAAGAGTTTTAAATACTATCAAGATTATTAGATACTCTATCGAATATTAATTAAATTAATTAACTAATTGTGCTGAAAGCCAAAGACTTGCGATAAAGCACGGCTTTCCCCGACTTAACGTTAATTCATTTATCTCGTTTGACAGTGTCGAAACCTTGTTGCAACAGAAGAAACCGTCCCGTAATAGCGCTAGTATTCCAAATATCAATGCGCGGCTGGAGTACACCGCCCTTCCGCACTTGGATCCCGATTTACCGCAACCGGACTTAACGGTCGATAATTTACATCTTGCAGGTATGTACACGTGCAAAAATGTGAAATCTATAACCTATAATAAAGTAAGACGTACGAGAAAAAGAGAAATCAACTGTAAACCATATCAAGTCACGATAAACCGTGGCTCTACGAAGTATTTTCTTCTTTCCGCGATCAGTATTATCGTATGAAATATTTTCAGTGTCGCGAGATTCTTACCACAGAGCGAACAAAGCAGGTAAACCTAATCGATGTGTCGAGTGATGAATGCGTTCGTTGAGCATGACCGTGTATTCTTTGATTTAGCGCATTGTTTTGATTAGATTGCGCGCTTGATGATTTTGCTGTACGAGACGTAGCTCGTCAGATAGTAAAGACTTAGTCAAGCGCAGCCTTATATTTTATCGTTCGCTTGTCCGTGAAAATTCGTAGAGACGATGGAAAGTTTCGTAGGGATTTGCTCGTAATGCAGTGGATCTCGCAATTTTCAGGCGTACTGGTGGTTTACATTCATTCCGCCGACAATCTCAACAGCGACACCACTCAGTGTAACCCTTACTGCATGTTATTCAACAATCGGAAGAAGGTAAATGTGATCCTGTTTAAAAGATTTGATAGAATTATATAAGAAAAAAAAAAAAAAAATATATATATATATACGTAGCTGAGTCGTGTTTTTTATAAAGAATGATAAAATTACATAGGAAGACATGTGTATTCAGATACATATTTAATCATTTAATATATTTAATCATTAAAAATAAGTTACGCTACGTTATAAAACGAAATAAAGTAGTAATTTTTTTATATAAATTCAAATATGAGGAATTGAAATTTCCGATAAAAATGATAAGATAAAATCATATAGTATTTCAATGAAATATGTATATATTTCCATTAATCCTTATCGGATTTTTAAACAGCGAATTCACATTATCGTTAGATATTTATACAATATTTTTCTTACGCGACACAAGATGATACGATATAAATCGTCATTCCGTGAACTTTCAGGTGAAAACAACACACTATGTCCGCTCAACCACTTCACCGGTTTGGGACTGCAGAGCACAGTTTCTAGTGCAAGATTACACTCAAGTGTCGCTGAGCTTCGTCATTTATTCGTGGAATATATCAAAATCGGTAGACACAGATATGCTTGGACTGGCTATGCTGTCGTTGTCTCAGGTAATTCAATGATTCTTCTTCAAACTGAACCATTTAACACTGGACTGCCCAATTGAATCGATTCTTTTACGTCTTCTTTCTGTCGTTATTTATAATTCTTGTGATTTAGGAAAAAGAAAGAGATCTCTCGTAATTTTTAATTATTTTTAAAGTAGAATACACTGAAAGCATAATGGAAGAGACCGATAATATTGTGATGAATTATTTTGATTTTTCTTAGATGTCCAAGAGAGTTATTTTTATTTAATTGTCATGTTATAAAAGCAATATACAAATTATTATTTGAAATTTTAGTTTGTTAATCTCAAATAAATTTATATTTTATTTTATTTTATGTCCATTCATCAATCTTTTTATAGCAATTATAGAAAGCTAGTAAGTAATAATTATAATAATGATGCATCTGTAGGAAATTATAAAGTAGAAATTATAAAAAAAATAAATATTATTATTACTTATAAAGTACTACTTATAATTATAAGTTTGAAAAAATTATGAAAATTGTAATTTCTTTATGATATAAAATGTCTATAAATTATATTTTTAGTATATTCAGAAGTCTTCATTGACACGAATGATGAGGAACAAAGAGAATTTTTAAATATTACAATTGCAAAGAATCGAAATAAATCGGGTAACCAAATAGAATTATCATTCTTGGACGTTTTAATATTAATATAAGAATGAGATATAAATACATGATATATGTAACGACCATAATTAAATATAACGTCATATATTTCTTTTCACTTGTGAAAAGAATTTTACAAGTTATAAATGTATTGCGCTAAATAGTTTAGTTTTTACACAATGTATATAATATATTTTGTATATTATACCGCGACTAACACAAAATCTTGCTACAGAAATGTTAATTTATTATTTGTTAAACGCTAATTTATTATTTCTTTCATTTCTTTTAAGGAAACGACTTGGGTCGTCAGAAAAGAACTTACGCTCAATGGTTCCAACATTATCTCCACTATGACAGTCTCCGTTCTGTTTTATCCTGTCAAGAGTATACAACAAGTACTTACTAGCCGTAGGAGCAGCATAGTTCCAACTATAATAGACGACGAGCCAAAAATTAAACGGAACAGTCTACCGTGGATGCAACAAGCTGTTAGTTGTGAAATCTTGCATTTTTCAAAGAAGAAAAAAATTATCTCACTATATATATTCTGTCAATAATATCCTGTCAATGGAGTATTATACAAATATTATCCCTGCTCAACTTTCGAAATGCTTTCAGAAACTGTTATTAACACATAAAGATGTCGATCCCGCCTCCTCCGATATATCCAGTCTACTCTCCACCGGAAGTGGCTTGATGGAGGTGACGCTGTTACGCGCAAAGGATCTTGTCGCGAAAGATTTGAATGGCTTCAGCGATCCTTTCTGTGAATTAAAGCTGAACAACGATACGAAGTACAAGAGTAGCATAAAAAAGAAAACGCTGAATCCTTGCTGGGATGAAAGTTCCATCATGGGCTTACCGAGAGCCGGAGAAACTTTAGATATCGTAATTTCGCAAATTTATAATATTTCGCACAAAGATTTTATGTTGTTAGCTTAGAATCAAAGGATGATCATTTAATCGACCATTACAGGTATTATGGGATCATGATACTTTTGGCATGAAGGACTACCTCGGAAAAGTATCATTGACTCTCGACGATATCAGAAAGTTGTCAAGCACCGATCAGTCCCATTGGTTCACGCTCAGGGGAACCAAAACGGGATCTGTGGAGCTGAAAATCAAAGTCTTGTCGGAGGAATGTGAGGTATAATGTTCATATAATATTGTTATTCTGTAACGATATTTATTATTACTTTTACTTAATATATAATTTAATATTATTTGATATTGTGTTGATATCTTACAATCTTCACTTTTCCCTGAATCCTGCTGAATCCCTACTTGGAATTATTCGCTTCAGACGCAAAGTACATACGCAACCAGCAACATCAGCGACAACTCCTCCCGTCTTAACACTGAGCCGGATTCTTTGTCGAGTATCGTGCGAAGACCTTCTATGGAGAAGTCCAAAATACGCCTGCATTTAGATCCAGTAGTGCCACCACCGCCTCCACCGCGCACTGTCACTCTTCTGAAACCGACTACGTCCAGCCAGTCTGGTAACGTTAAAGTGACATATGTCTGTGATATATCTGGTAGCCTTATCCAGTGCAGTAGATCTCAACATTTAATAAACGTAGCAATGGTTGTCGCTCGATACAGTTTATTATAGAATTTTGGTATCGTTTGTGATGCAGATAAAGCCAGCGTGACCAGCAAAGAATCGAACGAGGTAAACGGGACAACAAGTTTCTGGATTCCGAAAGTCATCGCGGAATCCGCCGCAGATAATTCCGTCGAAGAGGCCGACACGAGCAAAAACGGGGAGAGACGGTCCTCTCATCACAGTCTCACACCCAGTCCTGAGCAGAGCTTCGGAAAGAAGTTACCACAATACAACAGTTTCCGCGTGATGAAACAGAAGGTATAAATGCATCGGATCGTCGTGGTCAACATGTCAGCTCAAGGCACGTCATGTAATTGTAGGTGAAGAGGGGTTTAAAACTTCGTAGATTCCGATCGGAAGTAAATATAGAGGATAAAAACGAGAACAAAGGCATCACGTTGAGTCTAGAGCCTAGAGGCGGAGGAGAAGCCGATGCAACAGAACTCTTGTCGGAATCCGGTCTGGCTCACGCGGTGTCACAACCAGATATGCTGGGTAGGATAAGGCAGCCCAGCCCGCGATTAAGATTGAGACCGAATGGTTAGTGGCTAGCATTGAGAAGATCGATGTCAATCTTTGGTTCAATATCTCGTAATGATTCAACGTAGTTATGTGTAGAAACATTCCACAAATGTGTTTTTTAGGGGGATTTCGGTTTAAATAGCCGAAAAGTAAAAAGTTTTCATAAATTTTTTTCAAAGAAATAAATGTAGATATCAATATACAGTTTTGACCGTATTATTTATCATTAAGTTTATGTTTTAAGTATAAAAAAATTATTTTAGAAAGTTGAATTTCCGTTCAAGTTTTTATGTTTAGGACGGTTGTGCCGGATATGTCTAAATGATGGACAATATTACAGCTCACGTAAAATCTGAAACAAGTGAGATACAAAAATAATTAAAAACTATTAAACTTACTGAAGGATGAACTTAAATCCTTTGGAAAATTTCTATAATTAATATTTTTCATAGGACACTAAATAAAAAATAAAATAGAAAAATTACTTATAATGTCGCCATTTTGTTAAATTTCGATTTTCTGCACATATAACATAGGTTTTTCCTCCAGCAAATTTAATAGCTTTTAAATTTATTGTCTCACTTGTTTCAGATTATTACAATATCAGATTATACACAAGTTGTAATGTTCATAATATATTAGTTAGAGACATCATACTTAGTATAAAAAATCTGGACGACGAAATTTCAATTTTTTTGTAAATAAAAGAAATTTTTATGCTTGGAATAATGATAGTATAGTCAAAAATAATATGATCAAAACCTTATATCTTTAATCATTTCTTTGAAAAAAATTTGTAAAAATCTATTTTTTCGATTATCTAAACTAACTTCCCTTAAATTAAAATGCGACTGTATGACATATTTATAATTGATTTCAAAAACATAAGAACTGAGAAAATAAAATGAAAATACATTATTAATTATTACTTTTGTACATATGATAAGTCGTCTTTCTTTTGGAAAGTAATATCTCCTCATGCAATTTGAAAAAATTAATATTGACGTATAAAATAGATTCATATAATTCTTTGTAGATCTGAAAATCGTTAACGGTACTAGAGAGAAGTATTCTGGTGTGGAAGGGAAGGTTCTCCAAGCACAAGGCCTTCACGTGGCGCATATCGCCCAATTATATTGTCGCGTGAAGCTTCAGACGTAAGTAAATCCGATGTTTACGTCGCGTGTATAATGATGTCAGTTTGCAGAATCGATGATCGAGCCGAAAATTTCCAGATGCACCAGTCCAGATAAAATCATGTCAGCTAATGGCGGTAAGACCATCGCCAAATCACGACTACTGCCAGCTATGCCTAATCCCCAATTCAGTATCGATTTCCATATAGAAGGTGACAGCGTACCGAGACAAGCGTTACTAATATTTGAGATCAGGAGTGCCAGCAAGGAATTGTTGGCTAGTCGGCGTATAACTTTACACGAATTGCTAGGTATAATATTTTTCAAATATTTTTCTGTAATATGCAATGTGTTCAATTATATATATTTTATCATACTATTATAGTTGTATTAAACTTAATATATTATTAGATATTACATAATTAATTACTAAATTATATTCAGTGTTTACATATGCTGTATGAAATTTGTTTATGAATGTCTAGGGGTGTCCGCAGCTAGCGACGAAATTCACACGTGGTTGGCGTTAAATAACGGAGCCTCGTTAGAAGTACAAATTGCTCATGGAAAAGAGCTTAAGAATAAATCGACGAAAAAGTTGTTTCGCTCTTGGTCGGTTCATCGGATAGGAAAAATATGAAATTCAAAGAAAACGACATATTGCTGTTGTACAACATCAATCTAACATACACTAATATAAAAAGAAGAGAAACAATGAGACTTCTTTAACTTGTTTCGGGAGACAACATCTAATCCCCGGAACGCGCATTCCAATATTTCTCGCGTAAAAAATACGCATAAACGAGATTATTTTTACAAATAAAAACTATGCACATCATTCTTTTTACGAACTTTTAATGACAATACTTAATATCGTACCATTTCCAGCATTTTAATAGCATTCCACATGATGTTCTCCAATGTTTTGTACAATAATATACTAATAAGAAGTTTCATTCTTCAGTACATCATTTTTGTGACGAGAAATTGTTTAAGATAAATTACACACACACACACACACATACACATACACACACATAATATATATATATTAAGAGTTCTAATTTATGTATATTAAGATTTTTCTAATATTTGCAAAATTTAATACAAAAGATATACATTAGAATCAATAAAAATGTATTGAAACATCATTTCATTCTCTTTGTAATTGCTGATATATTACATTTGTACATTTATCATGCAGCGTGCATTGCTGTTTACAATACAATATATGTAACATAATATAATATAATAGTAGTAGTGTTATAACAGTAAGTGTATATTTTGTATTATTTCAAATACAATATTATAGATATAAATATTTCAGAGTTTAATTGGGAGGAATTACTTCTTTCATATCACAATTATCGAATATTACAAATATCAAATGTATTTCAATACATATAAATCTTCTTGTATAAGTGATTATATCATATAAATGACACACTTTTAGTCTTGTTTCTCAGTGTGCATACACATTTTTTAAGCATAGGCATAAATAAAATTTGAGACCTGGCAATCACGAAAGTGCATTTTTGTTAAAAAAAAAAAACTAATAATGCATTAAAACAATTCTTTGTTTCGCTGTTATATTCAATTGTAATTTATATTTAGAAATACATGTGTGCAAAATTGCAAATATATAAATATTTAAATATATAATTTATATAGTTTTAAATATTTTAAATAGATAAATTAATCCTCTGTTAACAATATATCATATACATTTCCCATAAATGTAATATCACTGTAAGAAAATAGAGAATAATACATTTAATAGATTTAAACAGAAGCAATAAAGTTTCAAACATATAATATAAAACTTCTTAACAATCACAACATATCAGTTGTGTCCCTTAAAGCACATTTATTATAAATATATATATGATGAAATTTAAGTCAACCAGAAACAAACGTTAGTATAAGTAGTTTAGTTTCAGGTAACATGATATTTTAGTTAAATTAAAATACGTAAAAAGTTTATCTTAATAACTTAATTCTGTAAATCCTTAAATTGTACATGATTGCACTTGTGTAATTATGTCATATTGCTAATAATTCATTGTAAAACATTTTTTTTTGTTAAATGACATACGAAACATTTTTTTTTGTTAAATGACATGATTCTGATAAGTTTTTTCCATCAATTACAAATCTGAAATCGAAAATATTCCAGCACATTTATGAGAAAAACCAAATTAAATAGTAAACAAAAATTTGTTTACAAAAAAAATGAGATGTTATAGAAATTCAGGGAATAACTTAAATGAGAGCTTAAACCTTAAGCTACAACTTTAAAATGAAGATAAATAACATGAAATAATTTTTTGAATTATAATTAAAAGCATTTAATTATAATTAAATAGTATATAATAAATTACCTAGTAATTATCTAACTTCAATAAATTAATTAATGAATTAAATAACCATAGGATTTTGGCATTTACCAATAATTAATTTGCACAGATTAATTATTGCAGTGCAACAAACAAAGTATACACATACACTGTAAGTGGTGCCTCAAAAAACTGTGTTACAGAAAAATTATTTTATGTTATTTATTTTCATTTTAAGATTGTAGCTTAAGATTCAAGCTTTCATTTAAGCTATTCCCCGAGTTTCTATAATTTCATTTTTTTATAAACAACTTCAAAAATGGCCAAAAAAGACAAATTTTTTGACTGTTTAACTCAGTTTTTTTCATAAATTTGATATGCTGAGACATTTTCAACTTCAGATTTGTAGTCAATAGAACAAAACTTATCAGAACCATTTTCTGCATGTCATTTAACAAAATCCTTGTTATATAGTATAACATGAAATCCCTATACCACCACGATCAAGTAGATATTGCTGTTTTAAATATATTTTATATACCTTGCAATTAAACACATGCAGAGCATTAAGAACACCTCTCTTCAATTTAGTTCACTTGCCACTGAAATAAGTAGATAATATTTAGTTAAATCTTATTTAAATATACAATCAAATATATTCGATACTAATCCAGTCAAATATAAGATTGCAATTGTTGATATCTTTACTTTTAATGTAGGTTGTGTACTGACAGCAGCTTCTTGTTCCTGCCTCTCACGTTCCAATGTTAACTTCTGTTGTCTTTTAACAGCATCCATATTTTTTATACCTCGTTGTTGCTGTTCTGCTATTCTTCTTTCTGCTGCTTCTACTTGTTTCTGCCGCATAGTCTCCTAATAAAGCAAATGGGGATACTATTCTTATATATAAAATAATCTGCCAAATATATCACATAGCACAAAACTTCAAGTGTTTATGTTATATATCAACATAAAAATTAAAAAATTGAGAAATAAGAACTCAAATAACAAATACAAGATTATTTCATAAACAAAAATAAAAAATATAAAGTCTAAATTTTGTTCACAGAGCATTACGAATGTTTACAAGATACGTTACTGCGACTTAAGGAAACTCAATCGTGCAAGCAAGAATTCAAGAGTGCGTATATAACCTTTGTTGAATACATACTCGATCAGGAGTAAGATCTTCGTATGACGACTCTTCTTTATAACAAAATGTGCAACAATTGCCCATGTCGAAATGTTACGTGAACAGATTGAACACTGTTGTTGCTCGGAATGTCGCTGTTTAATCGAATTAATGCTAAACTGTGTATGTGTCAAATACAAACAGGACATTCAGGTGATCTGTTCTTTTGCTCTGCACTGCTGCACTGGTGCAATAAGTTAACAAATATATATTTGTCTCACTCTAACTTATTGCACCAGTACAGCAGTGCAGAGCAAAAGAACAGACCTAGGGATAAGCAAAGATCTGTGGTAGAACTAAGTAAAAAATAGACGAAGAAATGGAGAAAAATTTCCTGTCTATACAATCACGTGCAACGGTTTGTCGTGCAACGATTCATCGTGTTGTCACACGTAATTGTATAGACAGGAAACTTCTTTCTATTTCTTTGCTATTATTTTAACGTAACCCACCACTATTCTTTATAGTTGAACTAGTACACTACTTAGGAAGTTAAAAAGAAACAGATATATAGTTGTGGCTTAGTGTGAAAAAGAGAGAAAGAGAACTAGCTAGTGCAATTAGTTCAACTACCTTTGTAGCTGAACTAGGTGCGTTCCGAAATTCACTGCCAGTGCTGAAATGCTATAATATACATAACATGAACTATAAATTTTCAGTACTGGCAGAGAATTTCGGAATGCAACTCTAATTGCAACTTTGTAGTTGTAAAGAACAGATCACAGTGCAGTCCCAGTTCAGTTACAAAGAACAAACCTACAGCTGATACAGGGTACGGTCCAGTAAGTGCTACAAATGCTTTTTAACGTTTTTACTTCTTTCTCTTTCTTCATTCGAATCCGAGAAATAGAACAAGAAAGAGAAACGGTGAGCAGCATTTGTAGCGGTTACTGGACCGCGGCCACATAAAGAAACCTAGAGTACTATTCTGTACACGCTTACCGACAACTGTCGGATCGATAATGTAATTGCGCAGCTTTTCTATGGTATAAAAAAGCTGCGCAACGACGTCTACCGATCCGACAGTTGTCGGTAAGCGTGTACGGAATAGTACCCCTGAAAGTGGCCACGCCATACATTTTGGCCGACACCGATTTTCACGCTGTTCGATGCGCCATCTGCACCCATTTTTTAGGTGGAACTACGTTCCCTACGTCCATTTTCAGACGCTGCCGGTAAAGTGTCGATTTGTTACGTGTCCATTCTACGTTCATTTTCTGGCGATTCGTGTCCGTGCTAAGCACATAATTGCATGGTTAAGACATAGACAGTCTATGTTCTTTCAAATAATAGGCCTGTTTTTGTAGCTGCACTGCTGAACTGATGCAATATATTGAAGTGAGACAAATATATGTCTTCTCACTCTAACTTATTGCACTAGTTCAGCAGTGCAGCTACAAAGAACAGGCCTAATATTTCATTAAGTGTACACTTTTTAAAAAGTGTATACTAGTTTAGCAATAGAAAATAGACCCAAGATTCGTCGGTAATATAATAATTACATACGTGATCCGCCATGGCTCTGCTGTCGAGACTGGTCCTATATCCGATCAAAACAGTGGACCACAGTGAACGTTATGTGCTCGCTCGGAATGGGTGTTACCTAATTCAGCGTATGAAATACCGATCAGTGCACTCGAATCTCCGTTTCTTTTAGTGACGTGTTACTCGGTGTCATAAGCAAAGAACTCTGTTTTCCTCGATACAATATTTTGTGTAGTGTGACACGAAACAAGCAATATGCCGGTCTTCCATACCAAGACTATCGAGAGTATTCTCGAGCCTGTGGCTCAGCAGGTAACGAAAATGATAACACGTCCCTATTATCTGTCAACTGTCATCGAAGTAATGCCGAGCAGAAGATCTATATTCGCGTCTTCAACGACAGATTATTTTCACTTCTCGGAATGTCAAAGAATTGACCGATTCGCCGTACCAGAAAAATACTCCGCGCTGCTTCCTTGCCGTTTGCGCGAAATATTTGATACATTTTCGAGAAATAACATATATATCTCGTTAAACAAACGCTCGTCAGCTATATAAACGGATTATCATCTTACGCGTGACAGGTTGCACGACATGAACGATATCAGAGACTCGTGTTCTCGGCGTTGCTCAGCGCTAATTGTAGCTTTTTAAATATCATTTCTTCTCGCCGTAAAAAGCACGATACTTGACTTTTCGAGACGCGCGATCAAAATCAAACGGCGACACTTGGCAAAGCGAATGTGGCGAGAGTACGAGTCGGTGTGCACTTGCCATAAGTCAAATTTACGGAGTAACCCTCTTGTTTTATCTAGAATGCTTTATATAGAACTATGACATCATGCCCTGTATATAGGACAGGGGAACTAAATCCATCTTTCAGACATATCCGCGGTTTCACAGACGAAATTTAATCCCTTTGGCCATTATGTACGAGGATGTTCCAGGGCATTATTAGTCCCGTGTGTCCAAAAAAGGACATGATGGTGGCAGACAGATCACAGCATCCCACACACTCATATTAGAATATTAATGAATCAGCTCTCATTTCATGATCAGATATATCTTCGATACTTAATTTCCACACATACCTGTTTTTGTCAGTATTTGCGGAGGTTATTAAAATCTATCTTATTTATGCATTTGATACTTTAAATATAATTTCACATACATATATATATAGAGTTCAGCATGATTTTTTAGACACTTCCAACAGTTTAAAGAAAAAATTGCAAGGTGAATTCTCAACTGCTTCATGCGGGCTACAACTTGCAATAACAAAAAGTAAAAAAATTGTTTATAAAGAAATCAAGGTCACCTTAAATTTTTTAAATGGCACCATATATTTTTTTGCATGATATTGTGGAAGATTTTAAGATGAATTTAATGTACTATCACAAATGTCACTTTTGTTAATGTTTAATATAAAATGTGCAGCATTATTTTAAATAGCAGTACTTACAAGCAAAGTACAGATCTCACTGCAATCTTCAGTGGATTTTTTCTTATGAAAATATTTAAAAGCTCTTATGTATCAAATGCCAATTAATAACGTTCCAGATCTTCGAGAAAAGATAATTACAGCTTGTGCAAATTTAAATCCAAATAGCATAATAGTACAGTAATTTGTTAAAAAGAGCAAAATTTTGTGTTGCAGAAGAAGGCAAGTAATTTAAACAGCTGCTTTCATAAGTTAAAATTTTTTCTATTGTTTTACTATTGTTGTTGTTAATAAAAGTAACATTTGTGATATTTGTGATAATGCGATAAATTCATCTTAAGGTCTTTTACAATATTATATAAAAAAGAGTGCATAGTGCTATTTAAAAAGTTCAAAGTAACCTTGATTTCTTTAAGAAAAAATATTTTTTTATCTTTTGTTATTGCAAATTGTAACTTGCGCAAAACAGCTGAAAAATAATTTTGCAATCTTTTCCTTAAATTGTCAGAAGTGTCTAAAAAATTGTGCAAACCGTTACGCTGAATACTCTGTATATATATGTATATGTGTATATATCTTGACATAAGTATATATATAGTCAAGTTTAAGAACATTACAAACTGCTACTTTTGAGAAACAATTCTATGTTTATTAAAATGATTAAAATAAAGTTATATTGAAAATATTTTTTAATCATATAATATTGTGTCTATTAAAATTGAATAGAAAAATGTCAAAATATTCAAGTTTTAAATTAAAATATCTATTTACATTATAATTATATATATATATTTACACAATATACAATACAAGCAAAAAATATATTATAAACTATGTAACAGATAATAGAAATATATAATATGTAATAGATTTAATGACATTGGCAAAAAATTACATTTTCTAGGTTTCCAGACTTGTTATCTTACATGAAGAAGCTGAAGATGGAAATGCAATGCCAGATTTGGGGCGGCCTGTACAGGCTGTCAGTATGGCTGTAACCAATCTTGTAAAAGTAAGTTTAAATAACAGAAAATAAACGTATATATATAAAAAAAATAATCTGGTTTCTCTTAAAAAGACTGTAAAGTTAATATCATATTATCATATTATTATTATATATATTTTCAGTGCCATATTATTACTAAACTTACTTAATTTACAGAATAAAATTACGTTTCTATTACGTTTCTACATTAATTTTATTACCTAAGTAATAATGTTAATTTGAGATAAAATTCAGATCAATATCTGAACAACATCACTAATATGTAAAATATTTTTTATTTTTATTATCAATGTTTTATTTGTGTTATTTTATATTTTAAATTGATCTAATAGAGATATATAGATAATAAAAAAGGTACAAGGTCTGTCCAGAAAGTATCCGACTTTACGCTATACGAAAAGAAAGAGCTACTTCGAATTATTGGCGATTATGTCCCTTTCAAAGTACTCTCCTTTGGAAGCCACAACTTTCCTCCAGTGTTGCTTCCACTTTCTGAAGCAGTCCTGGAACTCAGCTTTTGGAATATCTAACAACTGTCTCGTCGTATTCTGTTTTATCCTCCACATCATCAAATCTCTTTTCTTCTAAGGGATTTTTTAATTTTTGAAATAGCCAGAAGTTACACGAAGCTGTATCAGGACTGTGTGGAAGCTAACGAACTTGGGATATGTTTCGTCAAAAAAACCTGGATAATGTGAGATGAATGGATAGATATGTTATCGTGGTGAAGCAACTAGTCAGCACTTTTTCACAAATAAGACCGTTTCCTTCTCACTGCATCTTATAATCCTTTATAGAATTTGTAGATAGTATTCTTTGTTCTCATTATCTGACCTAGTGGAGCGTATTCATGATAAACAACATCTTCGTGGTCGAAAAAAACAGTGAACATTATCTTCACATTGCTTCAACTTTGACACGCTTTTTCGGTCGGTGTTCTTCTGCCGTCTTCCGCTGAGAAAATTAGGCTTTTGTCTCAGAGTCATAGCCGTAGACCCATTCACCGCTGGTGATGAGCTTTTTAAGTAACTCAGGATTGTTTCTGATCATTTCCAGGTTGTCCTGGGCGATTTCCACTCGATAGTCTTTCTGGAGTTATTAACAGCCGTAAAACAAATTTTGCAGCTGCGCGACTCATCCCCAGATCTTGGGTTAAAATTGCAGAATCAATAGTTTTTGAAGTTCCAAGGTCTTTTTCTAACTCTCGCACATTCAAACGACGATTTTTATCGATTGCAATTCGTTCCACATTTTCGAGTGTTTTGACTGTTATAGGTTTGCTAGAACGAAGATTATTTTGTACAAGTGCGGCCATTTTTTAATCGTCTAAACAATTTCTTGATTCGTTTTTACTCATAGATTCATTCCCATAAACCTTACGAATCATTCTGATCGTTTCCGAACACGAATAGCCAAGTTTCTGGCAAAATTTTATAGAAATTCGCTGCACGATGCGCTCAGTCATTATATAGACAAAGTAGAAATGCGAGGCTCACAATTTTGGATACTTACACAACTGCGTACTGTCGACTGAAGAGCTACAGGGTAGAAGAAGAGCTACTTCTTGGCGAGGACACACAAAGGTTCCCCCTAAATGAAGAATACTCATTATTTACAATAACAAATCTAGGTACAGTAATATTGACACAAGTCAGATCCTTCTTGGACAGACCGTACATATAATTGTTTAAAAATATATGTGTGTGTGTGTATGTGTATTTTGAATATTATTATAAATTATGGAATTACACTGCCATATTTCCCAAACAAAATGGTCAATGTTATTCTGAAATTTGTACATAATGTCTCATATATTATATAAATATTTTATATCATATTATAATTTAAGTATAATTAATCTTTAATATTAGTAGTTTTCTCTCTATTAAAACTTAGTTTAAAAGAAATTAAAAATAAGAATTAAAAATAGCATACTAACACCAAGGAAGACATATAAAAAATGTCAACTTCAGTTTCAAACATCATCTCAATTCTCAAATAATCAATTTTTTTTAATTATAGAAGCAGTTAGATAATATGTCAATTTATATGTAGTGCAAGTTTCAATGAATTTAAAAAAATATATATAATCTTATAATCTTAATTATTTTATTTATTTCAGTTTTTTCTTTTCACACATTGTATTGTATTATCATTATTATCATTATTATTATCATTGTATTGTCTTATCATTATTTTGATTTATAGGTCGGAAAGGAAACGATAAACTCGTCTGACGATGCATTGCTTAAGCAAGACATGCCAGCGGCATTGCAACGCGTCGAGGGTGCTTCCCGTCTCCTGGAGGAAGCATCAGCTATGTTGAAGCAAGATCCGTACTCTGGTCCTGCCAGGTAATTTTTGATGTTTTTTTATTAATTCATTTGCAAATTCGTTGTAACGTATTCGTTTATATCGTATCTTTCCAGAAAAAAGCTTATAGAAGGGTCACGTGGTATCTTGCAAGGCACTAGCTCCTTGCTTCTTTGTTTCGATGAGAGCGAAGTACGGAAGATCATACGAGAATGCAAGCGTGTATTAGATTACTTGGCCGTTACTGAAGTTATCGAGACGATGGAAGATTTAGTACATTTTCTTAAGAATTTAAGCCCATGCCTTAGTAAAGTATCGAGAGAAGTAAGCGCTCGTGAGAAAGAGTTGACGCATCAAGTGCATAGGGAGATATTAGTACGTTGTTTGGAGCAAGTAAGTATGGAAAAACCTTGCTGATTATAATGTATTTATATGTATGTTGCTTGTTTAAAAAGTCATTCTCTCTTTAAATAAGAGTTATTTCTGGGGGAATCTTAAATCTTTTTTAAGCTTTTTTATATGATTAATAAATGTACTTTGCAAAACTTATATCTTAGGATAATTTACTAATGTATAATGTATTTATAGGTCAAAACGCTTGCTCCAATTCTGATCTGCTCCATGAAGATCTTTATTCATATTATCTCTCAAGGTGGAAAAGGTGCAGACGAAGCGGCGGAAAATCGCAACTACTTGTCCGGAAGAATGTCTGACGAACTAAACGAAATTATTCGAGTTTTACAATTGACAACGTACGACGAAGAGGAATGGGAAGCCGATCAATTAACTGTGGGTTATTTTGCATCACGTGATGTAATCACACAGCTTACTTGTGGAAATGAAATTTTATGTAATCTTATTATTGTTGTATAGGTGCTGAAGAAGGCTCAGAGCGCTATAGAATCTCGAATACGAGCCGCGTATGATTGGTTAGACGACGGACTGGCTCTAAGAGGTGGAGTAGGAGAGAAAAGTCTTCGCCAAATAATAGAACAGGCGTCGCGTTTGTCGGAACGTTATTTACCTCCGTCACAAGCGGAACCCATGTCTAAACTGGCTTCTCAAATAGTCACTATGACCGACGCTCTCTGCGAATTGCGTCAAAACGAAAAAGGTGACTTTAAGTTCCATAAGATTTACATCGTGTTAACGGATGTGTTCAGCGAATGCAACAGTTGCGGAGTTACCATTCCATTAATAGTAATGCTCAGATAACAATTTACATATTTCTATTAAGAAAGCAACTAAGAGAATTCGTAAGGTTTTTAGTATTGGAATTAAAGCGTTAATAAAATTTGAGACACTTATAGTATCTATATGTAATAATTAGTTGAACTTGGTACAAGTAATATCGAACGTGACTGTTGTATCCTGAAAATTGCAATATTGCCCGAGACAGATTTTATTCAGCTTAAATAACGTATGTATATCTATGAAGGCACCACACCGCAAGCGGAAGCCTTAGCACGCAGTATTAAAGAGAAATTAAACGAGCTCCGCGGCTCGGTAGCGTCCGCTTTGGTAGCAGCAGATAAATCGGGAACTGCACAAACGGCACATACAGTAGCAGGTCGTTTAGAGCAAGCGAATAAGTGGCTTCTGAATCCACAGCACGATGACAAGGGACTCGGTAAAAGGGCTATAGCTTTAATAATACACGAAGGAAAGAAGGTATGATGTAACGAAGTCTTATGATCGTTTCGGTCATTGTTAAATTCGACACGTAACTATTAGAAGCGCGTTATCGTCACCGTCCTCTCTTCTACATGGTAATTCAAACCAGTCAAATTTTCATTCTATAATGCTTAATGTCTTCAATGCTGCGCATAGAAAGAATGAGCAACATAGTGAAAATGTGAGTTTGTAAATACTTCTCGTTATTCTCTTCCAATGTATACTGTTCGTTACCAGTGTTACAATGCAAAGAGCCATGCAGAGTGCTCCGAGCGCCGTGTATTTTCTCTAACGATGTAGATACATTTCTATTTTTAAAAAATGTCCGATTTCAAATTAAAATTTCCGCTTAAGGTTTATAGTTCAGCAGAGTTTTAAAGCTCGACAAACTTCACAAATTTTGCTGGAATATATCACATTTATTGTTACACACACACAGTATCGATTTTTAACTGCTTAAAGATTTTGTTGTCTAGAGAAAATTCGCGATGCATGCAGCGCTCTGTGTATTATTTTCTCGCCAAAACTCTGCGACAGTTATCAGTGATAAAATTATGTTTGGCGAGTAGGTGGCCGAGGGTTTACCTGGTATACACAAGGCGGAGATTCTGCAACTGTGCGACGAAGTGGACAATCTGTCGCACCAGCTCGCCGATCTGTGTGCCCATGGTCAAGGCAATACTCCGCGCGCTCAGGACATCGCCCGGCAACTGTCTCACAAGCTCTACGAGCTGAAGAACAGGATACAGCAGGCCGTTGTATCCCGTGTCGTTGAAGATTTTATCGACATCACTACACCTCTCAAGCAATTTACGGATGCCGTCTTGGCCCCCGCCGGTACACCGGGACGCGATCAAAATTTCAACGATAAAACCTATGCACTGCAGACGTTTTCTAACAGAGCGGCAAAGACAGCTAGGATGGTTGCAGCTGGTGGTACGTAATTATTATTTTAACACCATACCACAAACCTGTGATCTCTTCGATTGTGCCGATATTATCTTTTCTATATCTTACTGTGCGCACAGAATTATTTAATCGAATAATTTGGAAAATTTATTATACCTTGTCATTTTATTAAAAATAGTTGCGTTGTTACAGGAAGCGGTGGAAACAAGAAGCTAGCTGAAGCATTAGCCGCTAGTGCTTCGCAAGTAGAGTCTCTAACGCCGCAGCTAGTTAACGCCGGTCGAATCCGCATGACATATCCGGACAGCAAAGCCGCGGACGAACACTTCGAGAATCTGCGCCAGCAATACGCAGAGACGATGCAAAGAGCGCGAGCGTTATGCGACGAGGCAACCGACAGCGGCGACTTCATCAGGACCTCCGAGGAACAGATGCAGAAACATGCGTTTCTTTGTGAGGAAGCCATTGCCAAGGCTTTGCCGCAAAAGATGGTCGATAACACGGCGTCTATCGCGCGTCTCGCCAATCGAGTCATACTCGTGGCGAAGCAAGAAAGCGACAATAGTGAGGATCCTGCCTTTATACAGCGGGTAAATCATGCTACTGATGTTCTCCAGAACAGTAAGTATATTTTCATTTATATTAGCATTGTTTTGTTTTTCTCATAGTTTTGATATGATTATTGGCATATGAAGTACTTGAAACACAAATAAGCCAAGTTTATATTCCAAAATTCGAAAGATTTATAGCACAATAACGTTTACTTTGCTTTTAATCAGATAAAAATCTGTATCGCACGATACAGATTTTTATCTGTATATGCTTATGTATATTTTGTGTTTTATTTTATGTGTAAGTTGTAAAAATTATAGCTCCATCTCCATATAGTAGGTTTATTACTTCGAAAATGTTAACAATATCTTGATTATATATTTTTGATTTAAATTTTATTTTAAATTTTACTATTTGATTCTTTCTCGAATTGACAATTACGTTGAACAGGTGTCGCTCCAATGGTGCAAGATGCAAAATTAGTGGCAATGAACATTAATAACAACAATGCCGTGTCACACTGGAGAGAAAGCAACCGTGCAGTACGTATTTCATACCAATATGATATTTTTTTTTAAATATCCAACTTAATCCAACTATGTCCAACTTAATTTTACCTAATTATATCCTTTTATATCTTGCTTATCAGCTCCTGGCTAACGTTGGACAAGTTCGTAAAGCCATTGTAGTCCAACCAGATCTAGTACCACCTTTGGAAATGTCACAGTTACACATTAATGATGGTAAGTTTTTAATTCTAATAAATATTTCCCGTACGCGCACGAAGAGTCGGTAATAATTTTTGAAGGCGAATTTTTTCTATCAGCTGAAACAAAAACATCTAGGTGGGTGATTGTTTCTCAATATTAAATATAATTGCAATATCGTCTTTTTAGGAAAAATTGGGATGGGATGGAAGTAGTAATTATTTATTAAACTTATTGTTTTCGGTAACTCTTGTAGATTTATTGTATAACTTTGTAGTTTATAGAAGTTCATTAAAATAAATTAAAACATTTACGCCGCTAACAAATTTTTTTTGCTTTTGTATATTATATATGTAGATAAAATATTAGATGTGACTGTAGATAGATAGCGTTTGTATTATAGAACAATGATTATATCTCATCTATTAAAGTCATCCAATCATATCAAATCATATATTTTCACATTATATTGTTTCTCAAAAATATTTAGGAACTTTTATAAATGATACAAATATTAATGTTTAAAATTGTAAATTTTTTTATAACTACACAGGTATAGGTAAATTACACAAAACCGCGCATTTCAATAAAGTATTCAATATTAAAGAGTAAAAATAATATTAATGAAATAAGTATGTCTGATATATCTTTTACAGATGAACAAATTCCAACCCTACAATATAATTACACCAAAGATAAAGGTATCTCTTTCAGCATGAAAAGATTGATGCATGATTATTTATTATACAATTTTGCAGACATATTCGTTTCTAAAGCTACATAAAAAAGGAACGATAAAGACTGCATATGCATTAAAGCATTTAATAAAATTTTATAGCGGTATAGAAACATATACAATAGAAATATATGATATTCTATTATTTTCGTTCATGCTCTATTTAGCACAAGTCAATCTCTTTCACACATTCACATTCATTGTACATTATGTTATTCATGAACAGAGAAGTTACAAAACGTGCCATCTCATAATTAACAAAATCTATTTGCTATTATATCAATATTTGCTTACATTCATTTTTATCGTATGTAAAATGTAGATCAGAGTAACAATAATCGGAAAGTTAAATTTATTGACATCAGAACTATAACATATTAATTATATTTGCTCCCTAATCAGTAGAGAACCCCGATCTTTTGTATCAAGAACTGGCTTCTGACAACGAGTTAGACAAATCATTTCACGACGGAGGTAATTTAAAACACTTCTGGGCCATAAGTGAACGTTCTGTCTCTGATGCTTTAATTTTTATTTATCCTTTGATACAAAGCATGTTAAAGATCAAATTTGTACTGTGTTCAACATTGAAATATTACAAATATGATCGGTTGTGATATCATGAACAAAAAGAAAACATAATATAATACGTTATTCTTAACATTATTTAATTATGTATGTTATGAACTTTATATATCTTCATAAGCATAAGTATTACCTTTGGATATAAAATTTTATTTTAATTGATCTTTTATTTAAAAGAGGAAACTACATTTTGTCTCCTCATAATATATACACAATATTTACAATGCGCAAAAATAATAATAATTATTATTATTTTGTAACATTAATGATTTTAGGTATTCAGTATGATAAATTTTAATTTATTACATCTCCTGTAATTGATATTTATTATTATTACAACTATTATGGCATTAAACTGTCAAATGATAACATATATTTCATTACTCACTTTTAACATTGTGTTAATGCCTAATAAATACGTATCATGTTTATTTGCAAGTCTAAGCAGCATGATACTAACTCAATGCTTAGTTATATGCATGTAGGAGCATTTATATTATACATTACATCTGACTTTGTTTTAACACCATGTGTTTTTGTCTTTAATGCTACTTGGACTGCCAGGTTATTATGATTACAATTTTGATGACGGTAATTACTTCAATGTATTTTTACGTGACATTTATTAATTGTGACATCGCAGGAATTGTACTACATATTGGAATTTGTTTTAAACGTCATTTACTGTAATATCTGTTTTTATTAATCCTATGCTTGTTTATTATGTATAGAAGTAGCACCTCCTCGACCACCTTTACCAGGAGGCGACGTTCCACCACCAAGACCTCCTCCTCCCGAGACGGACGACGAAGATGAGATGTTTATGCACGCCCCACAACCTAATCAACCGATAATGGTGAGGAAATACTTGTTATTATTGTGCGTTTAATCCGTGATCCATTTTGAAATAAAGTAAATTTTATCTCTTTTCTATTCTAGACTTTTCATCTTAGCTTTTAATCTTAAATCATAATTTCAATTTTCTCTTTTTATTGTATTATACTTCACATTATAAAGTTTAGCTTCAATCATGCTTCAATATATTTTAATACACTGAAATTGTAATATATCTCATCTATTCAAACTTTTGTATATATATGTTCATCATTGTATTTCAACTGTTTCACATACTTTAAACTTCTTTACAATTTATTATTAACGACTCGTATGATCACTTACTCTCAAAATATATTATATTTACTTTATATCTAAAAGTGTTTACCTCAAAGTTCAATAAATCTATCTACCTGAACTAAGCTGGCTACTAGCTACTTAGTTTGATGTTATTAACGGATTAAATGTAAATATAAAATAATTAAACAGAAGAACTACAATATGAGATTTATTGTACAGATGGCTGCCCACGGTCTGCATCAAGAAGTGCGACAATGGTCTAGTAAAGATAACGAGATCATCGCCGCAGCCAAGAAAATGGCCATACTGATGGGTAGATTATCGGGGCTAGTTAGAGGCGAGGGTGGCAATAAACGAGATCTTATCGCGTGCGCCAAAGCAATCGCGGAAGCTTCTCAGGAAGTCACCCGTCTGGCAAAGGAGCTCGCCAGAGAATGTACCGATAAACGTATTCGAACGGTTCGTTGGCACTCGTTTTCTCTCCTTAGAAGTGACACGCGTGATAATCTAATATTTGTAATGTTTTTATCTTTACAGAATTTACTTCAAGTTTGCGAGCGTATACCTACTATCGGCACGCAATTGAAGATACTGTCCACTGTAAAAGCCACTATGCTCGGAGCACAAGGTATAGTTTGGAACATTTCTTTTCATATATCAATTTATATATTGATTATATTTGGCAACAAACTCGCGATCGCCGGGCTAATTAAAAAATATTTACTAGTGATCTTAGGATGATATAGTTTCTCTGCGAAACATTGCTTAACGGAAATATGATAACTGCTATTATTAATGAAGAAATTAAATTCTTTGTATATAGAGACACTCCCGACCTGGGAAGAGCTGATGCTTTATGGTAAAGAAGTTGCAAACTTCTGTGCTTGATGTTATCTTCTCTTTCTCACTCTCTTTTTTTCTTAATGGCGTTTATTTTATACCCTTAAAGATTTAATGTCAATTGATTTTGATATTGACGCGTTAAACACTGCATTGAAAATGCATGCAACCCCTACTTCTTTCCTCGAGAGGAAATACAAGAAGGTGAAACACTGTGATCCGATGAAATACAGACGTTATTAAACGCAAAAAAATAATAGAGCAATAATTTATATTACAACGTAATTTATCGATTTAGCGGTTTCTTGATAAGAAACAGACTAACATGATTTTGATATTTTATTTAAACTTTAAATGGTATGCCCTTGGTATGCGTCTGCTCGTCGTGGTGTAGATGAATTGATTGGCTGCAGTAAGTGAATATTAAATCCATAGCTGATTTTTAGATAGCAAATCCATTTGACATAGCAATATTCATATATTAAGTACCAAACTTAATTTCCGACTTTTTTCTACTTAAAATGCATTTATTTCAATGACAAAATAGATGAATACATCAATAAAAACATTTTCTATTATTTTCTAAGACTTTTTCCCATTTTTCTGGCAAAAGTTGAATTCTGCGTCGATAGAACTTTTTGTCTTTTGAAGCGATCCAATCATTGACCCATTTTTGCACGTCTTGAAAATTAGAGAAGTGTATATCTTCAAGGACGTGTTGCATCGATCGGAACAAGTGATAATCTGATGGATCAGATTTGAAGAATAGGCTGGGTGCGGGAGAACTTCTCATTCAAGCTCTACCAGTGCTTATTGAATGGTTCTTGCCACATGTGGCCAAGCATTATCGTGCAAAAGAATAACTTTTATTGATAGCCTTTTTTTGCATCAATTCCTCGTTCAAACGTTCCAATTGTTGTTGGTAGCGGTCGACTATGACTGTTTCATTTGGTTTCAGTAACTCATGGTACTATGTCTTCCTGATCTCATCAAATATACAGCATTATTTTTTGACTATGAATATTCCGATTAGGCATTGAAGTTGATGATTGGTCCAAGTCCACTCATAACTTTTTGCGTTTCGGATTATCGTATATAATAGATCCATAGATTATCGTCGATAATAGATCCATTTTTCACGGGTCACAACTCGCCATAAAAAACTCTTTTTTTATGTCTTGCAAGAAAAGAATTAGCGATAGAAAGACGATTAGAGATTGCAGCATCAGTCAATTCGTGTGGTACCCATTTTCCTTCTTTATGAATCTTTTCCATGGCGTGTAAACGTTTGGAAACACTTCTGTCGATGACATTTAATGCTTCTGCCAATTCTTTAATCGTTTGAGATAGATTTTTATTCAATAATGCTTGCAATTCGGCGTCTTCAAACTTTTTTGGCTGACCTAGACGTTTGTTTTAAAATCACTATTTTTAAATAGTTGAAATCATTCTTTGTAAATTATTTTCGATGAATCACCATAAGCTTCATTGAGCAATTGATGTGTTTTAGTTGGATTTTTCTTTTCTATAACTATAGTAGTGAAGAAGTACATGTCGAAAAAACTCTTTATCACTTTCTCTTTATTCTATTTTCTATTAAATAAAATAGGTTGTGTATCGAATTTTATTGAGAAATAACAAGCCTTCTTTTTAGCTGTTAGTCACAACATTCGTTGTTGCCATCTATTCATGAGAGTCGAAAATTAAGTTCGGTACTTAATATTTTCTATCTCTGTTAAATATATATATTTCACAGTATATTATACATTCATATATATCTGACATATATATCATCATTACCGACTTTGCCATATTGCAATTTATAATGTATAATTTGTATATATATATATATATATATGTATATAATATGGTAAGCAGGTATCCAAATTCGAATAATCCATATCGGTCTCACGAGAGTTTCCTTTAAACAAATGTCAGTTTCATCTCCTGTTCCAAGAATTCTATATTTTCATTTTCATCCATGCATGCGTTTTACATAATTACTAGGGCTCCAAACTCAAATTCTACGATCCAACTTGCTTTAAATCCGTATTATATTCCTGATGTGATCTCATGTACACGAGCCCTAATAATTATGGGATAATTTTCTCTGAAGTGAAAGTTTACATGTACATTAAACACATTCAAGACACTTATTTGCACTTAATTCCCTGATTCGAAAAGTAATGAGTAGATATACATTGCATGTAAATCACACATATCACATTTCAATGTAGAATACATTTTTATCTTGACACACAAAGAAATATTCACGCTAGGTGGAGTTATAAAAAAATTTTTTTATCACAGAATATTAAGTAGTTTAGGATAAAATTATATTTGTATAATCGTTACTTGTCTCTCTTTCATTTAAGCCTGAAACATTGGAGTGAGTGAATCTTATGCATATAATGGAAAAATAGGACATCCAATTTGCGTGTGATGTTAATTACTATCAAATATATGATATTCATGAAATCTATTACAAATATAATTTTATAAAATATGAAGATTAGTTTTAGAAGTAAAACACATATAAACATGAATGTATCAAAGAAACACTTCTTTAACTATATTTAATGATCGTTTTCATAATGTGCACATATAGGTACAGAGGAAGATCAAGAAGCGACGGATATGCTTGTCGGAAATGCTCAGAATCTCATGCAGAGCGTAAAGGAAACCGTACGTGCTGCAGAATGTGCCAGCATAAAGATTCGTACTGCTTCTGGTATGAAGCTGCGCTGGGTGCGTCGTCAGCCGTGGTATCAATATTAGTTTCTTTATGTACGTCGACGTGAGAGGAAACTTACTTGGGGAGAACATGCAAGATTTCGATTGGTGTTCATATATACTAGCAGCAATTTTTCCACGACATATAAGAAAAAAAATCGCTAACATAAGACGTATTTCTATATCAGATGCAAGTATACACTAATTGCACACGCAATATTACGCTTCTAAGAAATTTATAAACTGATTTATATTATATTTGTTTTATCGCGCGGCGGGCGATTAATCATTGATTAATTTTTTGTTTTTTATGTTGTTTTTAAAAGAAGGCAATACTAACAGTTTTATATATATACACATTAAAACGCACAATTCTTGAAAGCTAGACAAATAGCAATAAATCAATGCTTATTCATATTTCATATATTGTTTATTATGATTTTTATAATATTTTATTAATTTTACTTTCTATGTTGTTTAATGAAATAACCAAGCATAATAATGTAAGCTAATCATGAGTAATACTTTATAGCTTGAAAGTTAATCTTTGATCTCTTAGTTCACTATCTCTGAAGAGAATGTGAAAAGCCTTATTTATATATCCAATATATCGTAAATACAATATATCGTACATTAAAAATGATAGTATCTAAATAATAGCAATAATATATACCTGGCAACACAATAGTAATATATGATATAATGGCGATAATATATTTTTTTCATGAATCTTTTTCTCTAGCCGAATTAAAATACTCACTGTCCACAAGTTTTCAAAAAGTTTTTTGATAAAATTAAAGGCAATAGGATTCGTAAGACAAATATGTATGTAAGTAAAATATTTCTATCTTTGTTACATAGAATATTATCACACGGGACTAAAATGTTATATTTTTACAAATTAAACACAAGTATAGTCACACTTAAGATTGCTATACAAGTATATTAAACTGCTGTGCACAGCGGTGTTACCTAGGTTTATAGTGTCCGAATCATCTGTAATATTTGAATATAAAAAGTACAGAAAAATGAATATATATAAAATAATCAGAGTTGGATAAGTTTTAATATTTTTTTTTACTAAATTTAGTTCAAAATTATTAACTTTTATCTAATTTAATTTTTAACTAACTAATTATTATCCAATTTTGAAAATAGTAGTATTAGTTCGGCGAAATATAAAGGTTCAACTTATCGGTTATTACACAATATCCTCTTAGTAATAAAAATAATAAATTTTAACTAATAAACTTTAAAACATGAATTTTTACTAAAATACTTAAATTTTCGGGATTATTAGAGATACTTCAGATGACGAAATTAGACACCTATCGCTATGCATTGTATCGATATATTAGAAAAATATATTTTTTATAAGTTTCATGGGATTGTAATAGCATCAATTTCGGCATTAGTTTTGTGTTCCCATATTTTCAATGGTGCTAATGCGTGCAATATTGTCTTAAGCAATGTTGCTGTGTAATGGATAGTGCTAATCATATAGAGCGATAACAGTTTTCTAACATATTTTCTTTGCAGTATAGATCAATTTAAAACATTAAGATACGGAATGTTATGATATATATTAATTCCCAACAGCAAGTAAGGATAATGTATTTGAGGACATTTTTATGTAACCATGTTTATAATAAAAATAACTTTTATTGTGTATATATAATAGTTATTACTCTTAATTACTATGATCTGTTTAATGTATTATAACGAATCTGTATAATATATGCGTTACAAATTATTGCTTAATAATATAAATCATATCACAGTACTTAAGAATCAAAAGGTTCTCTTTTAATGGAATTCTGCGTAGGTGCTGTTGTACCTATTTTATTCTTAGGAATCTTTCCTGGTCTCAAATATGGATTATCTATAACATCTTGCTGAGTAGTAGCCTCACCATTCTGTTCATTCTCATTTTGTGTTTGATTACCTGTAAACAAAAGTTTGTAACTTGACAATTGATATAATATTTATATTGTTATATCAACTAGACACAAACTATATTTATTTTAAATCTACTTCTATATAAATATATATAAAAGGCTTACCTTCTTCAGTTTCTTTAGTTTGCTGTTCTTTCTTTTTTTTTACTGGGCTTGGTTCAAACTGAAAATCTGTATCTGGCTCAAATATTTGATCTTGTGGTAGGAGAGCAGAGATGTAGTTGGGGAATTGTGACTTACAAGATATTACTGAAACAAAGAAAATACTTGTTTCACTTTTAAGATATTGGTTCAACTTGATCAATAAACTATAAATAACTATAAATGGCAGTAGATAAATAGTAAAATAAATAATAAAATAATTAGTATAAATAATAAAGATTTCTTACAAGGAAACATGCTATTGTCTTCTGTGAGGAATAGACTATGTGTTTCTCCTGTCTTAGCTATAAACCTTGTTAGAGCTCTTTCAATATCTCGTTTCTGAGTTGCTGCCTTTTCTCTTATGGCTTCATATTCCGTTACAGGTTGTTTATGCGTCTACAATATATACCATCATTAAATCAAATTGGTATTATTGTATTATTTAACTTCTTGATTATATATAAAATTAACATACAAACAAAGTGGTCAATAATTATAATTCATTCATACTTACTGGTGTTCTGATATATGCATGTGGGTCAGGGAAAGATGGTAAGTGAACTGGTATATGTGATGGGTGACCTTGCTTGACACCAGCTTGCAAGATATTTAATTGCTTTGATTGTGTCTGTTGTTGAAGTGTTGGCAAAATTGTCCTATTCTGCCTCTTTGCATACACCTCCAGATTATCTAATCTCATACCCATATTGATTAATGCTAATATTACATCCGCTATCAGAGGCTCAGTTCGTCCAGAGAGTTCGCAGTAATTTCTTGCAGAAGCTCCAGTTTCCACGATAACTATAAACCAAAGTTTGTAGCATTTTAGTTAGGTTATGTTAAGTCGTCAGTTAATTAGGAGTATAAAGTTGAAACTTACATGACTGTAACATCTCTGTAAAAGTCTCCACAACTTCTTTCTCACACGCGTCAAAACCGCACTCTACTAAAGTACTGCAAACCACATGACTTAATATTTTTCGTCGTGTATTAACTATTTGTATATCCATGATGTATGTTGATATGAACTTTTGAAGGTTTAGCTCTTCAAAAAGAATGAATCTTCTACTTCTTAAACAATATTTGTCTCTCTGAGAAAACAATACTACGTTTTCATCTTCTGCTTCTTCTTCTTATATCTTCCTAAATATTTGTTGCGAACATAGACATTTGGGGCGCATTCGGGGAGATGTTATTTAGCGCAATGAGTGTGCTCTGTCCTTGTTTGTTCCTGAAAGTTGAACAAGGACAGAGGACGCTCATAGCGCAAAATAGCGTCTCCCCGAACGCAGCCTTGGTCTGTTCTTTTCAGCTGCACTGCTGAACTGGTGCAATAAGTTAGAGTGAGAAAACATATACTTGTCTCACTTTAACTTATTGCACCAATTCAGCAGTGCAGCTACAAAGAACAGGCCTAATGGCTCCTGCACACAGGACGCGGTAATGCTTGCCGCGCGAACAATCCGCGCAACAGCCAATCAATATGTTGTTTTTCCGTAAGAGCTAAAAGGTTATTATGGAAAGTAGCATATTGATTGGCTGTCGGGCGAACTTCCGCCGCGCGGCAAGCATTATCGCGTCCTGTGTGCAGGAGCCATAACATCTACAGTGCAGCATAAGCGGGAGCACACACTTTTGCATAAAGGCATAATGCACAACGCATGAGAAAATTGACCAATCACAGGCTTTTATTTTCGTCCTGGCAATAGAAATTAGGACTCTGGTTCATTTTTTTATGCGTTGTATATTACGCTTTTATGCAAGAATATGTGCTTTCTATTCCAATGAAGAATTAAATTCTCTATTAGAAAGCTGTTCTCTTATTGGATATCGGACGTCGTACGTCGGAAATCGGACGCGGTGTGAATCTTGCAAATGGTCTGTTCTTTTCAGCTTCACTGCTGAACTAGTGCATAAGTTAAAGTGAGACAAGTATATATTTTCTCACTCTAATTTATTGCACCAGTTCAGCAGTCAGGTGAAAAGAACAGATCACAAGATAGAATGACACTTGTAGCGTTGCAAGCATATAACGGAACGCACCTCATGAAGTAATATAACTCCACAACAAATCAAACAAATTTTTAATTTTTAGCACAATAAAACTAGTCGGGGGGTTAGATGGGGCTTGTATGAATGTCAATAAGAATCATATTCTTCATTTTTCTGTTAACTAAGATAATCAGAATGTTAATTTTGTAATTAATAATACACAAATACACGAGAAAGTCAATCATCAATGTGCGAAAAGTTTCAATAATCAATTGTCATTAAAATCTATTAGTAAAATCAGTATGTGCAAGGTGAATAATTCTATATTATTTATGCGTTTGTTTACTTCCTTTAGTTTTATGAAATAATATAATTTATGTATCTTAAATTTTCTGATATTCTTATAGATTGTTTTCTCAATTTAAGTGACAGCTGAACATACAATGTAGTGTAAACGTTAATATATTTACATTGTGAGCTGTGATATGGATGCAGACATATTAAGAGCAATATTAAGGAGCTCTGGTGATGCAGAAAATGTTACTGAGTCTGAAGATTATAAAAACATGTCGAGGGAAGTTGTACTTCAGTCTAATGCAATATCTGATACTTTATGTACATCATTGAGCAATCTTCTATGTTATAAAGTATCTAAACAAGCTTATCAACGTTATTCAGTTCGACTGTTGATAATTGTACGTTATATTTCTGTATCAATATACCAATTAGCATATTTTCTTCCTCATTGATTCTGTATTTCAATATGATTGATATTGCAGGATATCATAAGGAAATGGTGCAGAACTACAAGCAATTTTGATCATTTGCACGTCTTTACATCTGAAGAAAATAGCTTGAAGTTTATGGACACTCTCTTGAACAAGTATCTCACTGATGATATTCTGAGTGACTCTTGCTCAGATGATGCTCTGATATCTTTAACTACTGCTGTGATGCATCTGTCAACTGCAAATCCATTATTTATGCATCATTTGGACAAATTGCTTGTGAGACTTTCGCATTTGGAGACAAACGATAAAATCGAGAGATTGTTACACAATGCTCTAAACACAAATCAACACCTCAAACTATCTACGAAGGAAGAAATATACCTTTCGCAGAAGTCAAACTTGATAGAAGGACCTTTGCTGTACAGTTTCACTCGTATGTTCCCCGACGCGCATGAGGAAAATTGTGCAAAAAAACAGCATGACGAAAATCTGGATCGTTTATTAGCATTCAGCACAGAATCCATGTGTGTCTTCCAATTAATGTTCAGCTTCTTGAAGGAGCTGCTGGTTCAGTTGCAATATGCTCCCGCAGTCATGGACTTCATAAACTTGATGTTGAAGCGCGTAGACGCTTATTGCGAGAATCATGGTAAAGATATATTGGACCTTTATCCTAGGAGATTACGTTCCTGCGTGATCTTATTGAAAATAAAGCCCAATATTCACTCTACGCAAACCAGAGAATACACGCTGGAGACTGTGAAGCGAATTTTCTTTGAGAATAAGGACGCTGCCTTAATACTGATGTCTCACTTCCCTGAGTGGCTGGAACTTCTTTCGGCTTACATCACTAATAACGCGCCAAGTTGACCATCGTAGAGAGTAATGCCTCTCTTTGTTGTTATTCCAATCCAATTGTTATACAATATATATAATTGCCGCAAAAACGTTTATTTATGTTTCTACATTTATTATATAAATACTCTGAAATAACATTTTATATATTTTTTAAAGAAACACGACAGAACGTTAAAACAAACTTCTCCAAAAGAAGTCTAATCATATGGTTTACACTCTTTCAACTTAAACACTTTGGATTTGTATTTGTAGTGACATCTTAATGCTCCTCTCTCCTCGCCACAGGACTCAATTGATGACGTCAGAGATGAGAAAATATACAAAATAAAAATTATTGCAAAAAATACATTAAAATAAAGATATAAAATGATACTTGCAATCAATCGGGCATATCTGTAAAATAGTCCAAACGCTTTCTTTTTGCTCTAATAATCAATAAATTACCATAAAATTAATGTAAAATTAATGTACCTTCTTAACCTACTTTTCTTTATGATTTTGTTGTTTATTAAGTTATGATTGTTAGAACAAACAAAGTGTTCAGACTATTTTATACACCTGCTCGATCGATTGCAAGTGTCATTTTATGGATACATCTTTTTATTTTTATGTATTTTGCAAGAATTTTTAGTATGTGTATATCCCAGTAAACACAAAGTATCATCCATATTACAATGTCAGCAATTATATGGTATATTATATGGTATATTATGTAACTGTTACTTTGTAATATAATAAAGTTGAACTGACATTGTAATATCGATGATATTTTGTGTTTATTGGGATGTTTTCGCTCTTCTGACGCCATAAATCAAGATAATCGCTGCGAAGAGTTAGGAGCCTTAAGACTCTCGTTTATGATACTCCTGTTGTTACTATCGAACAAATTTGCGAGTAATTAATTATTTTCTTAATTATCGTTTTTAATTCACGATTAATGTAAGCTAATTTAATTGGAGACTGTTTAATTGACAATTGATTTCAACAAATTCAATCGAAGACTGTCCGTTGACAATTGATATGAGTGAAGAGAATTAGTGAACGTTTAATTAATAATTGAACTTGACAAATTTAATTAAAGACCGTTTAATTTTCGATTGAACTAGTAAATTCAATTAAAGGCCGTTTAATTGATGACTCATATGAACAAATTCAATTAATTCAGAATTGTAAAAATCGAAGATTGTTCAATAACGATTTATATGACCAGTGGCCTCTCTCAACATGAGTCCTATTTGGCACTTCTAGTCGGAATCATCGGCATCTTCTACAATGCCATGATTTTAATATAAATATATACAATCAATTGTATATCGTAATAAAATATTATATAAAACCAATTGTAATCTTGAGTAATCGAATGCTCATTGATTGAATTTGCTCATATCGATTATCATATTAAATGCAGGATTAATTTCTAATTAATCCTACAATTCTAAACAAATATACAAGTAAATTGTAAAGTCGTAGCTTACGAAAAAAATAAAAAAAAAACCATAGATATTTACGAGTTATCATATGTGACATACGGTCCGCATAAAATTGTAGATTTACTCATAAGTTCTTACGAGTCTTACGAAAACAAGTTACGAGTTTTACGATTTTGTGTAGAATTGCAATATAAATTAGCTATGTTCAATCATTAATTAAACGACCTTTATTTAAATTGCTGAATTAAATCGGTAATTGAGTAATTTTTAGTTTTCTTGAGTTATATCAATCGTCAATTGAAAGGTCTTTAATTGAATTCATTGAGATTAATTGTCAATTAAATCTATAATCATTGGCTCGAATCAATTGGCTCTCGATTAGTTGAACTGAAACATATTTGATCAAATTAATTACTAAATTGAGAAAAATTTAATCGATATTTTTACAGCTTTGCTGTGGAAGCACTCCAAAGTTGTATTGTCGCTTTGTGTGACAAAATACAAAATATATTCCGGGAATTTTTGAACGTCTTCGACAATCCATAAAGCGTCAATGCAAGACATGCGGAAGGAAATTATTTTCAGTAATTTTTTTCGTGATGTGTCCTTACCAAAGTCTGTTTTCGGACCAAACGTTTTCGGACCAACGTTCATATGATCCTTTCTTCATCTTTACGATGAGTAGAACATGCTCTTTTTGCGGCTTAATTAGCATATTAATGTAAATTTGTTATAAATTTCCGCTGAGAAGAAAGTCCAAATCTTTGGACCGTTTGGTTTCATTTATTGTATATATGTCTGAAACTAAATATACTATAATTTTGTTTGCATATCGATACAGGCTCTTATTTACCTTTGTGCATTTGTTAATTGGATATCCGGAGAGCCTTTGTTATTTCCGAGAAATGTTCTTAGAGTTTTCCTATATTTCTGACTGTATCATATGTAATTACCGTGAAACGTTTATAATATATATTCCTACATTTGATATATATAGGATGTCTGAAACTTTAAGACAGCCGTAGTGTACAAGTAAAACTTGACAAACTGAACAAAAAATCCTTTACTATTTTATAGGTAATCACATAGATATTTGAGTTGTGAATCAAAGAAGATTAGTGAATAATTACACGCAATTCTTCGTTAACTTTAATTAATAACTAAGAAATATTTGTGGTTATTTACAAAATGCTGGAAGACTTGACCTAATTTGGTTGTGTACATTAATGTACAAGCAGAAAACATATTGTACACATAACTATACTCACTAATTATTTTTAATTAAGGCTCCTGGGGAGTCGCATCATCCATCTCTTTTTAATGACGTCAGAAGCGAGAAAACGCATGCTAAAAATTCCTGCAAAATACGTCGAGATAAACAGATATATCCACAAAACGACATTTGCGATCGATTAAGTACATCTCTAAAATACTCCGTACACTTTCCTTTTGTTCTAACAATCAACAGATAATTATAAAATAAATGTGACGTGCAATCGTCTTTTCTAACCTAATTTCCTCATTATCTTGTCATATTAATTTTCCGATTATCTATTGATTTTTAGAACAAAAGGAAAGTGTACGGAGTATTTTAGAGATGTACTTAATCGATCGCAAATGTCGTTTTGTGGATATATCTGTTTATCTCGACATATTTTGCAGGGATTTTTAGCATGCGTTTTCTCGCTTCTGACGTCATTAAAAAGAGATGGATGATGCGACTCCCCAGGAGCCTTAATAACTCAAAATTTTACATAATTTGCAAAATAATATGGAACGTTTTCAGTTTGATAATTTTTATCTGCACACCACGGTTATGCCTCGAATTAATTCAGTGTATTAATCGATTAATACACTATGTATACAGATGTGTCCGTTAATTTGCTACCGAGCCATGGTGTATAGGTAAATGAAGTTAAATTAAATAGTCTTCTAGCATTTTATAAATAAGTAGATTCTTGATAAGTAGATAGTTGTTACTTGCAAAATGCAAGTAAAACTTGCAAATCTACAGATATACAACGGCATTAAGTATCGCCATCTCATATATATATAACTCAACAATCTTTTCTAATTAATAACTTAAAATTTCACGTAGTTGATAGACTAGCCGCAAAAATATAAAAAAATGTTTGTTCAGTTTGACCTGATCTACCTGTATCCCATGGCTCCGTAGCGCATTGTTGGACACTGTGTATGAACATTCTGAAATAAGAGAATTTGATATATCCCACACAGCAGAGGTATCCAAAATATATCATAGAGACATCCTAAAGATATATTTGGGATATGTGATATCTTCAAGATATCCCTATGATGTATTTGAGACATTCCTGCTGTGTGGGATTTTTCAAAGAAAGAGAAACACGACAGTGTTTGTACTACAGATAAGATTTTTATTCGTTCGTTTGGCCACAAAACACATATTAAAGAATGCATGTTTCGAAAAAAATGATGTGGCCACGAAAATAGTCGCAGACTCTCAACACCGTACTTTGAACACTCATCGCGTCTCATCGTGTCTTTAAAACGCACGTTTATAGAAAACATTACAAACAAATAATGTATCGCAATATTCGAAGTAGCATACTTAAAAAAAAAAAACAAGAAAAATAACGCCTTTCCGTAACCATGCACGCACGTATGGCGCGAGAAAATGAACGCCCTTGCATATGAAACGAACAGAAAACGTTTTTGCGGCATGGACTTTCAACAGAAACCATCCCAACGATCGTATGTACCGTTTTGCTAAATTAAGATAAACACAATGCGCGCTATATAAAATTCCAATCGGTACGGCTGCGAAGAATTACACCATAAGATTAAAGCTTATTATTATATAGTCAGATTCTTCCTAAGACTCCATTCTCTCGGACACCGTGCTTTTGCTGGCGATCACAGCGGAGCAGGACAAGGAGGTGGGTGCGACGGCAGCAGGGGTGGAAATGGATTTGACAGGATCGACGGAGTATGGTTTCGTTTGGCGTGGTAAGGACCTTCGTCTCTTCGGGAATTCGTGCTGCTGCTGTTGACCACTCTGACGTTTCTCCGTTTTGCCGTTGCCGTTGATGGACTTTGGCCACGCGACCTGTCGAAGCCCAATGCGTCAATGCGGATTATGTTATTATTGAGGATACGATTTCAACAAAAAATCGACGTTGAATAAATCGCGATGTAGTACGTAATTATTTGATTCGTTAAGCCTACTGGTCCTTCGTCGCAGAAATCTTGATTGATGACATCAGAAGTGAGAAAATACTCAGATAGACATATTTCGGTATATTATTTGTTTAGTGATTAACACAAGTACGCAAAGTGCATCTTCGTACAACAAGAATTCTTTTTCAGTATAGGTTTAGGATAGAGCGTATATTACAAACTAATATCTTGAAATGTACTATTTAAAAAAATCTCAAAAGATGCAAGATATCAAGAGGAGCATGAAATAATAATATTAACATGATAATGAAATATTTCTTTCAAGATTATTTCAAGACCAATTTTGATTTTTTAAATATAATTATATAATTTTCTCTAAATAAATCGATTCCTCAAGTCATTCTAAATATAAAAGTACTGCAGTAAGATAACAAGTGTGTGAATACTTTCTGACAATACCTATAAAAAATTTTTTTACAATAAAAAAAGGTATTTTTTATTTATATTTATGTCAATTTACAGCACTTAACTTACCATTAAACTTTTATTCGAACAATTTTTTTCTATCTCCTTTAATTTAAGAGTAATACACGAAAAAGTAGAATCGTCCTTTTTACTTTAAGAGTGTAAATCATACCTTTAAATAACGATAGGATACAAATGGAATATACCGTTATTCATATATCGATTTACTCTATATACTCACAAAAGAATATCAAAATTAAAGAGTTCGGGTTCGCGGTGTTTCCTTGTGAGATATTTCATATTTTGTGCTTATATTTCTTTCAACATAAAAAATTAAATATTTTATAAAGTATTCACTTTTCCATGATATCATCTTAATACTTTTGTACGTCGAATGACGAGTGGAATTAATTGTTGTGAAGAAAATGAAGGAGTACTTAAAAAAGTTTTCATTATAGATGCATCGGTGCACCAATATACAAATATTAATATCATCAATTAACAAAAATAAGTATATGTTAAGCATATTGTGCTTGGCAAATTTACAATAGCATCACAAAACATAAAATATTAAATGTTCCATATCTATGCATGCTATGTTCAATATCTGTCTATCTTAGTGCACGCTAAAATTGTTTGCAAAAAATACGTTAAAATAAAGAAATATACCCATAAGGTGACACTTGTAATCACAATCGGACACATCTGTAAAATAATTCGAGCACTTTCCTTTTCGCAATCCACAATTAATAAATTATCGTAAAATTAACATAACGTGTAATCAATCCTTTTAGTCTATGTTTTTCTATGATTCTATAATTTTACGATTTTGTATTGATTTTTAAAGTAAAAAGAAATTGCTCGAAAATTATTTTACAGATCTGCTTGACTAATTGCAAGTGTCATTTTGTAAACATATTTTATTCCAACATATTTTTAGCATGCTTTCTCGCTTCTGATGCTGTGAATCAATCCAGATAGCACAAAATATTTTATGAATATTCTTATAAAATACGAATTTAATTCTTTTAATTCCAGAATATTCGAATCGGATATTCTATGAATATACGTACAATATTGTAGACACGGAGATTCGTATATTTATAATAGAATAGTTCTTAGAACATTCGTAAGATTTATCTACTATGCATATGCAATGCATTCTTGTAACTGAAAAATTTTCCAGTCCACAAGATCACCACAACACAGCACAAGATCTCCCAGGAGATGTCCTGGGAACGTTCTTAGGACGTAAGGATGTTCTCAGAACGTCTTTAGGATGTCCTGTGGAGATTTATGCTGTTTGAGAAATATTCCAAATAGTATTACGCATTTATAGCTTAATAAAGAAACATATCTATGAAAATGAAATACTAAAGTTTTTTCTTCATAATTCACAAAAGCAACATTAATGTGATTAATTTACATTTTGTAAATATTCTGTGAATATTGTAAATATTCATAAAACACTTACAGTTGTGTAATTCGAATATTCTATGAATATATTGTGAACATATAATAGTATTTTTAGAGAGAGAGTACATTCATAAAATGTACTAAATTTCATTACAATATATAAATTCATTACACATTCTTTACGAACATTACACTAGTGTTCGTAAAAAATATTTACAGATCAATTACGGAATATTTCTGTGCTATCTAAGAAGATGGCCGCAGCGAGGAAAAATAGGAGCCTTGACGGAAACAACGTTTTTGAACTTCCAACAAATAACTTAAATAATCAATAAAGAGAATAAATAAAGGCGAGCGAATGAAAAGAGAAATTGAATCAAAAGCAAGTAGAAATGGAGTACACAGAGAGTTGTAAAGTCGCGCGAGAACTGAAATAAAATTGAGAATAAAAAATCGGAAAAAGGATGAGTCCACGGAATTCACGGATTGTCGCGCGAAACGCAAAGATCCAGACGAGGACGTAGTTTGAAGCTCCGGATTCGGAAATCCAGATCGTGGGTCATCATGAACAACCCGATTGATGTAACTCTTTTGATTTAATCGTTCTGTCAAAGATTTCCAATTTAGCTTGTCGTAACAAAAGTAGATGAAATTCTCACGCAGTCCGCTGTTACACATTGCGTGCGAAGCATCGCCCGCGGCTTAAAGCGTAACATTGGTACATCTCGTCGTATCGTGCTTCTCATACGACGAAAGGACAACGTTCTTGCCTCCCTGACGTCCTTTCGCGATGA